GCTATGGTCACTCACCTAGTCCCAATGACCAAGAGGTCGAGATGGGGGACTAGGGAGCGCCTAGGGGGGTCCTTATATACTAGAGGGGCTGCTTAGCAACCAAGGACAAGGCGCGAGAGCGAGGCAGTGAAGATGACAAAGGGGGAACAAAGGGCGAGAAAGAAAAGGCAAGGGCATGGCGATCACGGGAACGTAGCATGCGGCTGTGGGAACGTATCTACAGTGTCCAAACTGGGATGAGCTAGGAAAGGAAACGGTCCGGAAATGGAAGGTGGGCGTCAAAGGGAAGGGAATGGGCGGCAAAAAGGGGCGTCTGTCCAACGTCCGTGACAGGTTTGGGCCCCCCAAAGGGTAGCCGGTCTGTATTAATAGCGCGAACGAGGCTTTAGTGTGCCCGCCTGAGGGCTCCCGGCTTGGGGGACCCCCCGAGCGCAGCGAGGGAGGGGAGGGAGCCCGAATGGCGGATCCTCTTCGCGCAGCCCAAGAAAGAGAGATAGTGTGATGAGATTTCAAAAGTTTTAAGCTCTCATGGCTTGATTGCTACAGCGTGAAGCATTCCCTTACTGGTTGCGCGTTTGATCCGTGGTTGTGGCTCATTTATTTGATGTGGCTGTGTTTTGGGCGTCACGGTGCCGGCTTTTACCTCGGCCCGGGTGAAAGGGAGAGCTGAGCCCCTCAAGGGCTATTTGCCCATAGAGACACTACCCTCGTTGTAGGTGCCTCAGAGCTTGGGAATGGTTCTGGTCGCCCCCTGTAGACATGAAGGACGTGGCGAAGGACTGGGAGGGGAACTTGGCGGAGAGCACAACGCGGACCATGTTGGTCTGGACTTGCATGCACGAGCATGTCCACCGCGTTCTCCTTGAGCGCGACCTCGAGCTCCTTCGTCCACAGCGCCTTGCCCCCGATCAGGTACAGGGCCTGCAACTGATTCTGGTCGCCCCCAGTGGACATGAAGGAGGTTTCAAAGGGCTGCGCGGGGAACTTCGCCGACAGCGCGTCGCGAACGATGTTGGTCTGAATCTGCGCGAGCTGAGAGGCGCGCGAGGCGAGGGTGATAGTTCGTGGGCTGTTTGACGTCGACATCGTGCTTATTCAAACGTTCGAGGTTTAGGTAGGATCAGGGGGTATGGAGGCAGGGTCGGAGTGACGATTTGTACTGGGTGCGTGAGCACGCGATGCAGATAAGTAGGCGGGCACCAGAAGGCGCTCGAAATCCTGGCTGAGAACATGATAATTAGGGTATGGTTAGAAAAGGATTCGGTTTTGAACAGAGAGTTATGAACAGGCGCTCGAAGCAGGCCGTTTCTAACCAGGATTAATAACTGTTATTAACTCTTGTGTTATTAACTGTTAAGAACATTTTCTAACACCGCCGTGGTTTATTAACAGTCGTATCCCATCGATGATCACCATGCCAATGCGTCCCTTCTCCCTCCAGTATCTTGCTAGGCTTGCCATCTGCTACACTATCATCATCGGAATCCTTGTCTCCATTATCCGGATTGCAAAAAAGCATGTGCAAGGCATTCCTGAAGAATTGCTCGTCATCAGCTTCTTCTTGCTTGTCTTCTCGGCGCTGGACCTCAGATCAAGGTTAACGTCCATATCTAGTTGCATATGATGTTAGTATATTTTGCTTATCAGCAAAGTCTTAGACTAGTGCTTCACGGAGATTTTTGGCAGTGTGTGGTTCCAGCTCAAACACCTATGTATTGCCTCCATCTGGACTCTTGAACAATATATAACCGGGCTGATAGACCCCTGGGCTTTTGAACCGTTAATTAACATGTTAATAACCTGTTAATAAACCCCGGGTTCATTATTTCGACTTTCAAACTTTACCCTAATGATAATCACTCGCGGTACCCTCAATCTTGAGCCGTTCCTCTGTGTCACGCTTCCTCTTTCATCTCTATCGTGTATCCTACTCACTCGTAATCTATAAAATGGACCCTGTCTCCTACTGCAGCGCACAATCGGCTCCAATCACGTCAAGCATTCGTGATCTTGACATACTCACAGACATTGACCGCTTTCGAAATTCAGCAGACTCGGGGCCCCCCTACATCGTTGCTATTCTAATGCGTCTTTCTGTATCCAGGCTTATACTCCGGACTGAGGGGGCTGACGGCTCATATGTATCCTGAATCTGAATCCACGACAAGTTATAGACACTACGCGGTCGTGGGGTGTACCGCACGGAACGTGCGTACACTGGCAGCATGCAACTCATACTACCACCAAACAACACATCTATGGCATTCGGCAGCTGGCAGTCCAGCCAGTCATTCGCTAATTGTGTGATACATCAAGACCCGCGACGATATGAGGGCTGTTCATCGCCTCGATGCGTCCTGCCTTCCGAGGGTTTGCGGATCAACACGTGAGGTTGGACGGTCCGACGAGGTTCCTTGGTAGTAGGGGTGCTCAATTCTTGTCGGTCGCTCAGTTGCTCGCGCGCGTATTGGGCGCCTGCCTAGCTGCATTCAAGGTCAGCTCAAGCGTCTGCAGTACAGCGAGCGGCAGAGACACGCAGGCAGCGGGCACAAAGAGATCGAAAAGATCGTCTCATGCTAGGTTTGTTAGGCCCGGGAAATCAGCCCAGCAAGTGAATGGTGACGTCGGGAGAGCTTATAAACTCGTTGACCTGGACTTATTATACACAATGCGCCCAAGTCGGAAACAGAATCAGCACGACATATATATGGTTCAGGTGAGGGTGCCGCTCTGGGCTCGATGGCAACTGGACTCAAACCTTGTGAGGCGACTCCATATCTCGAGACAAGCAACTTTATAGCTTCTGAATTGTCAGATCCTCGCGTCGCTCTCTAGTCCCAGCTCGGGGGCATCATGCGGTCGTGTTGCACCTGCTGCCTGCGTGTCTCTGCTCGCTGTGCTGCAGGCGCTTGAGCTGACCTTGAATGCAGCTAGGCAGGCGCCCAATACGCGCGCGAGCAACTGAGCGACCGACAAGAATTGAGCACCCCTAGTAGCTGTTCTCAGCGGCGGTGCTTGGAACCATTTTGAACCCTGGTGAGACTCCACATTGCAGTACTCACATTGCGTTTGAAGCACCATCTGTGTCGAGCGATGGTAAGGGGCCCTGCGTAGTTTCTGTTCTCAGCGGCGGCACCCGAAAACCATCTTGAACGCTGGTGAGACTCTATCTTGTAGTACTCACCTTCAAGTTGCGGCGTCTCAGCGAGATGCACACTAGCCCACCGTGCCATCTAGAAGACGTCCCCTTCTCAGCGGCGGATTCTGTATTCCATCTTGAACGCAGGTGACACCCTGCCTTGAAGTACGCATCTTGTCTTCCTGTGCAACGTTCTTATACTGACGTAATCGTTCGCAGACCTGCAATATCTTCTCAGCGGCGGAACCCAACAACCTCCTTCAACCCTGGTGAGTCTCTATCTTGTAGTACTCACCCTCGAGTGCCCTCGCAAGGCCCGTGACGCTTTCACATGAAGCGCGATCCGCGAAGGCTATGGAGGTGAAGAGGGGATAACATGGGAAGGTTGTGAGTTGTCATCGTCCTTGGACGAAGTGCCGAAGTGGGATGATGATATAGAGGAAGCCAGCCAGAGGACCGAGCTTGGAGAAGGGATGTAGGCGTGCATGTGAGAGGGATGGTGATGGTTTGGGAGAAGCAGAGGCTAGCATTCTGCACGAACTTTTATAGCCTCTTGTCAGGGTAGCTGGCAGACTAACCTCGGGGCTCACATCGGTGCGGCGTGTTGAGTTGCCTGGGCAGAGGCTTACTCGCCGGCGATGTGAAGAGGCATGTGGGCTAACACGATCGTGCTTGTAGGATCTGGGCTGGCAATCGCCTGTTCACCGAGGAGCCGAGGAACAGGTCGCCGATTGAGAGACTGGTCATTCTGCCAGCCGCTCTTCTAGTCGTTCTTGAGGCTTTTTGCCTTTTGTCATCATCCATTCGCCATACAAGACTTCATAAACTGGGGCCGATGTGAGCGACGCAGTGCGATGCACAGTAGGGATTGCGAGGAGCATTTCCAGGCAATGGTATTTAGCATGACTCGGGATAGTATCAATCGTCAGTCAACGCAAAGCAGCAACGGCGACAGCCAGGCCCGTGTAGTATAGCTCGCCAGAAGTGGTTGGACATGTGAAGCATCGTTAGCGGAGGGATAGGAATAAGAGAGCGACAATACGTTAGGATACAAAACTGAGTTAAGGAAGGAACGTGGGGCCTAAAGAAAATATAGGGCGTAAACTACTGGGGAGGGAGCGAGGATACCAGAACTCGGTAGACAGCGTGAATTGGTTAGGAGGTATGGAGCACCAGGCGGCGTTTATTCCAGATCTACGCCGTCCTCCTATGTGATGTAGGGCGTCTGTAAGCTGTTACATGGGGAGATCAGCGCAAGACGTACATACGTAGATGGCAGAAATAGTATCATATCCCGTGTCGGCGCCAAGTTGCGGGTAAGAAGACATTGTCTCCAGGATTCACAGGCGGATTGCGGAACGCGCATCTAGTATAATATACTACTAGTTAGTATCCGCCAAGTCTATTAAGATGAATAAGGCACTCAGCCGTACCGTCTCTGGTACTCCGCACCCTTCTGCTGCACGAGCTGGCCGCGCATAGCGTCCCAAAAGCGGTGTGGGTCAATTTTGTTGTGCGTATATACCCCATGGATCTTCAGGGCTGTGGCCGGATCAGTAAGGCAAACTTGCCATTAGTTGTAGACCAACCTTGTCTTTCGACCTAATGAAATGATTGTTGAGTGATCGGATGGGTCATGGTGAGACACGAGGCGCACCTCGTCACCAGGCTCCTGGACGCAGTCGATTTGGTACTGTGTCGACATTCAGCACGAAGTATGGAACTTGCTACTGTGTGGTGACCTACTACTAGACGCGTGTTGCCCGTCATCTTGGCCTCGTAAACAGGGCTCTCTACTTCATAACCGTGAGTCAACCGCTTGTGGTTGTCGTCGGAGAAGTGGCCATTGGACAGTTCTCTGCAGATACTTAGTTTGCCACATACTGCGAGACCGGAGACTGAAGGCGACTTACTTCATTTTCTTGACTACGATGCTGAATAGCTTACCATCCTTCGCGTGACGTAGGTCTCTGATAGCACGTGGGGTGAGGAAGACGCGCCATTCACCGAAACCATCTGCATCGTCGAAGAGCTGGGCAGCTTTCATGGGCTGTACGAAGGGGTACGCAGGGGGTCTGGCGACATCCTGATCTTCACCAGAACTGCTGTCATCTTGCTCTTGAGAGACATGTGACACGCTAGTGAATGGTTGCAAGAAGATATCCTTGACTGCCGCCTGAACGGTAGGGAGTCGGAACTTCTCCAGGTATTCCTGAAAATGACACGGACGGATGAGCGTGGAACGAAGTGTCCAAGAATACATGCGAGACTTGCCTTCAGTGCGCAACATTGAGCGTCACAGATGGTCCCCATCAGCGACAACGCCTCGGACGGCGCCTCGGGCACTCGAGCACCATAAGTGGCGAGGATCTTCGCATCCACATCCGGCCCACGGTTCTCGCGCCTAGCCTGCTTTCTCTTGCTCTGCGAAGAATCAGCTGCCTTGATCGAGAACGGTAAGTCCAATTGAGCGACACTGGTCTGCTCACGATGTATGTGCGCCTCTCTCACGAAGCGCAGCTTCAGAAGCTCACGCAGAACCGCCGTAGCAGCCTGGTTGTTCCGCCAGCACGCGCCGTTGGACGAGTCGGACGCCCCCTCCGATGCAGTGCGCGAGAGAAAAAGGAAGAAGAGAGAAAAACGACTTAGCAGTCTAGGAGCCGGGGAGGCTAACAAGTCTGCCAATCCTTGCTTGAACCAGGCAAGTATCGTCTTGACGAGGACTGTATATGCCATGTCATCTACCGCTAGAGACATGTTAGTGAAGAGGAATACAGAAGGAACAAAACGAAGCTCACTGGACAAGACCAGCTCTAGGACATGCGCAGGAGCCTCAAGCTCAACTACGGCGTCTTCGACTACAGTGGTTGGGTCGACAATATGGCGACCAAGCGTGCGTAGCGCAACCTGTGTGGCCATCTCGTCAGCAAATAGCGTTGCATCAAAAAGTGCTGGAACGACGTCGATGACTCGACTACCGCGACCTCCTGGGGTGGAGGATTTCGTATGCACAGGGACTTCCGTTGACATGGGCAATCTGCGACACAATTCCAGTGGCTTTCGCAGGGAATATCGTGCAGCGCCTGGTTTGTAAACCTTCGGAATCGTTCTCTAGGAACGTATCGTTCGTAACAACGAACGTGTTCTCGACGCAGGAGGGCGTCGGTGGCACGAGAATGCTCTCGGAATATCGGATACGCGATGGATCCGGTACGCGAACACACAGTGTTCGGAACAAAGGAGCTAGCTCAGGAGCGGCTCGACTGAGGTGATAGCAGTAGAATAATGCTACAGATATGCGTGTTGGACTATCTGAAACCGTCCTCGCTGCGAATAGAGGGCGAGTGGCGTGTGACAACGCTAACCACCACACGGGGGAAAGACCTAAACAAAGAAAGACAATCAGCGAAAGGATAAGGAATGAGGTGTTGATTGGAAGTTGTGATAGAAGTATTTGTCTACGAATGGCAAGGAGAAGTCGAGGGGTTCTTGGAAGGAAAGGCGGAACGAGCTCGACTCGTCTTTGAGGGCACGTCGGAGAATCAATCATACTCCCACGGTGGCAATGCCCAGGATGGCAGCTGATATTGTCTGTTCCTTCGTAAGGCCCGCTATGCGCACATAATCACCAAGGGCTGTTGAGTAACGAAATAGTCACACAGAGCTCCCGGAACAGAACGCAATGCGCCTAGCATTGCCTGCAGAGACACGTCAAAGTCTTCGAATGCACAGGAGGGACTGACATTTCGAAAGGCATTACTCACCAAAACTCGAAGACGTCTCCTCGAGGAAGCTTGATCGTGTACACCCAACTCCAACACGAACGAATCGCTACAGACGATAAAGACGCAGCGCGTTCTCCGGCGCTCCACACCCAAAGCAGTGATTCAAGAGGTGTAGATGAATCCGTTCTACAGCTTTGCAAAAAATCTCAGCGACGTCCTGCAAACCACCTACATTCATACCGCATCACCGCAAGGATGACTTTTCAGCTGACCTCTACAATTGCGCCTCGGACGCGACGTCCGTCAGCAACACCGGCCGCATCACATGATCCCAATTCTCGGCCCACGTCCCCCACTGCCATTCCTCCGCCCTGACCTCTCGCCCTCTCCCTCTCGACGCCGCCGCCGACGTTCCGCGATCGAACGATGCACGGAGGGCCGCGAGCGCTGGCGCTGAGGGGAATCCACGGAGTAGGCTCTGGACGGACGCCAATGAGAACGAACGAGTCCGTGGGTTAGGAGGGAAAGAGAGCAGTACCTCGATTTGGGCCGCAAGCTGCTCTGCGTTGTGAAAGACGAGCCCGTTGACGCCGTCCTTTACGAGCTCATCCAGGCTGGGATAAACGCACATCAGTACAAAGACCGCATATGGGCGTTGACCTCAGCGCTCACCAGTCGAAGCCGAGCGCGCATACAGGGAGCCCGCAGCCGAACATGTCTACTACCTTCATCGGCAAGTCGAGCGCAGACGAACTCGAGTGCAGCGATATGCCGATGTCGGCGGATCCTACATGGATTTAGCTGAGTCTCGGCCAACTACCATACATCACCATGAACACAAGCGAAGACCTACCAAGAAGCAGCGGATAGTCATCCGCCTCGAGCCACAAACTCACACACCTCACGAACCTCCACGGCCCCGTTTCACCATCCTCTCCGCCTCCATGGCCTGCCTGAAGCCGCTGCACCTCCTGCATGTACTTCTCTTTGAGGGGCCCTTTGCCCGTCACGATAGCGAGGACTTTCGGCAGGCCCACCCCTTCTCCCTTCTCCTCACTTGTCCTCGCACGCCTGTCATACTCCTTCAGTGCCGCCAAGAGCATCCCAAAGTCTTCGTCAGGTGTCCACGACGTACTCGACACGATGAGTGCCGGCCTATCCGGGCGCAGAGAGGGCATGGCGATGTCGTCGACGTATGGGCCTAGCTCGAGGCAGGCTGCTCCGGAACTAGAGAGCGACGTTGGCGGGATGTGTGTGAACGGGGTGGAATATGGGGGGCTGGTGTTTGGTAGGAAGGACGTTAAGCCTGACAAGGGGTCAGTCAGGACGGGTGAGAGACGTTGGAAGAGCTCGTGAGTTTCGGACGGGTCGGCACGGTGGAAGCGGGAGGGGGGGCGATCATGCAGAACTACTTTCAGTCCTCTGTGGGAATGTTCAGCGCGTAGGAACGGACAAAGTCAATGGAGTGCCGCACTGAAGATCCCACTCCCTGACGAGATAATCGTGCATGGCTGTAGTTACGAAGAGGTGGGCGTATGCCGACCGTCCAAAGTAGGATTCAAACCTGGGATCTAGGATGAAGATAGTCATCCAGGGAATCAAGACGCATATACTCACCACTTTGCAATTGTGACAAAGGGGTGTTCGTTGCCTAGTCTCAGCGCGAGGATGCTAAAACCAAGGTTATGCCAGTCAATAATGACCTTGCATCCACGCATTTTCGAGACGAGCCATACGATGGCCAGCGTAGGAATACTGGGGGGGTTCTAATTCTGTGGGGTCATTACATGCGCACCCAACGGGGCCGATTGTGTTTGTTGAGTTCGAACGTACCTGTACGAGTATAAATTCTGGAGGATCGGGGACATGGACGGCAAGCGTGTAGACTATTTCCAGGATCTGACGGAGAACTTTCAGAGGTCCTCCAATGAGGAAAGGGAGCTTGCGGAGGGATTGTGGAGGATCCGTGAGGTGAATGATGGAGACATTGGGTGCAGCAAGGAGAGAGGGAATAGGTTGCGAGCCTTCGAGCGCAGTGTTAGCAAGCTAGTTGAGTCTCATCTATACCATACACTCTCGTGAAGCAGTCCGCACGGGCATGAGCATGCAACTGACCTCCGTAGCCCACAAGATACGTCAGAAACTTATTACTCGCGAAGCTCTCTGCGTGGTACATCATGCGCGGACTTCTGCCAATGTCTCCTAGAACAAGTATGGCCACGGTACGGACTTTGGGCCGTGGTCGCGGACTCGAGGAAAGTTTCCATACCAGATACAGAGCGAGAGTGAAGAGAAACAGATAGAATGCAAATTCGACCGAGGGCGGTGAGGGCGTAGACGTGATCTCTGCACGAGACATCGTCGTCGTCGTGGGACACGACGAGCGCGGTCGAGCCGATCGTCACCGCGTCATTCGTGGCATGCACGCGAGGGATACCATATCCGGCAGGTGATGTCACGCCAACCAATGAGCGCAAATGACTAACGGCCAAACGCGCGGAGGACGGCCGAAAGTAACCTAGTCACCGACCACCATGATGTCTTCGCCATCTTCTTCGTCTCTGCGCGCTTTGACTCGCGCTGCTAGGGAGCCAGTCTCAACGCGGTCGCGTAATGCAGCTGCCAGGAGTCTCTCTTCCTCAACTTCAAGACAATTATCCTCATCTTCTCGGAGATCCGCCGTCCTCCATCATGGCTCGACGTTTGCTACCGCATCTCCGACTAGGACGCAACAGCTAAAGTCTCATGTGCAGAGGATAGGGCAGGGTATGTCCCCACATTTGCTTGTATATCTCAACTACTCATTGCAGCAGCTCGGAGTATGTTCATCCAGACAGAAACAACACCTAACGACGACTCGCTCAAGTTCATCCCTGGCGTCGAAGTCATGGGAGAGGGCACAGCAGAGTTTACCGACATTCGCTCCGCCCTCAAGTCTCCTCTGGCCATCCGCCTCATGGGCATCGAGGGCGTTACTGCAGTCTTCTACGGCCCCGACTTTGTCACCGTCTCCAAGGACCCGGATACGTCCTGGTCCGTCATCAAACCCGAAGTGTACGCGATGCTCATGGAGCACTTTTCGTCGGGGCAGGCACTTTTCCGGTCGGACGAGGACCGTGAGGCGGCAGGTCCCCAGGATACGCGCATTCTGGACACGGACTCGGAGACGGTTGCGATGATCAAGGAGCTTTTGGAGACTCGCGTGCGCCCGGCTATCATGGAGGACGGTGGTGATATCGAGTATCGGGGCTTCACGGACGACGGGGTAGTGCAGGTTAAGCTGAAGGGCAGTTGTCGAGGGTGCTCCTCAAGCACGGTGACGCTGAAAAGCGGGATCGAGCGCATGCTCATGCACTACATTCCTGAGGTCAAGGGAGTAGAACAGGTGCGTTCCCTACTCTGTCTTCCCTCAAGCATGGAAGGTTCCTAGCCTCACACGACCCTCAGATCCTCGATCAGGAAGAGGCTATTGCGCTCAACGAGTTCGAGAAGCTGGAGCAGCGCCTAGCGAAGGAGCACGGCCACGAGAAACAGGACTCGAGGTTCGCAAATTCGGCTTTTTTTTACCGCCGTTCCGCGCTGATGCATGCTGTGTTGTCCCTTGACGTACAGTATGGCTCAGTACATGTCCGTTTAGTAATACCTGTGCTTTTAATCTATTCGCACTCCCCTAGGGAGAGTACAAGTCTGAGACCTCTCACGCACATCCACATGTGTGAAAAACCATACGTGGACCTTTCTCCGCCACTGAGTTCCCAGTAAAATTCCCGAGTATGAGTGTAGCCGGGTCTGGCTCGCCGATGCCGACGTGAGGAATATGCATATATAGGCGCTTGTCGATCATCATAGTGTCCGCCTTGACTCCCGCTCTCATCGACATCGCGCGCTCGCGCACTTGTACAAAAACCTGTGTCTCGGACCCTTGCTGTCCCATTCACATCCGCCCTGATCCTCCTTGATCTTTCCAAATTCCGGTTGTAGCACGATGGCTACGACAGAAAGCCCACGAATGATCACCCTCGCCTCGCGCGCCTCTCAGCTCGCGCAGATTCAGACCAACATCGTTCGCGACGCGCTGTCGGCGAAGTTCCCCGCGCAGCCCTTTGAAACCTCCTTCATGTCCACTGGGGGCGACCAGAATCAGTCGCAGGCCCTGTACCTGATCGGGGGCAAGGCGCTGTGGACGAAGGAGCTCGAGGTCGCGCTCAAGGAGAACGCGGTGGACATGCTCGTGCACTCCTTCAAGGACGTGCCCACGGTCTTGCCGGAGGGCTGTGAGATTGCGGGGGTATTGGAACGGGAGGATCCAGTGGACTCGTTGATCGTGAAGAAAGGGGAAACGTGGAAGACTTTGGAGGATTTGCCGGATGGCAGCGTGGTTGGGACGAGCAGTGTGCGGCGGGTCGCGCAATTGAAGAGGAAGTATCCCAAGCTAGTGTTCAAGGACGTCGTAAGTTGCGCGATCTAAATTTCATTTTGTAACACATCCTCACGTATTTTCCTGTCGCGCGCCCTGTTAGCGAGGCAATTTGTGAGTCCTTTCACCTGTGTCACCCGTAGTGTGTCCCTGGGCGCACTTGCCCGAATATGCGCCGTCGCGTATGCACGCAAACTCTACGTTCAGCCCGAACGTCGCGCGGATCCCAAGCTCGGTCCCATACTCGCGCACACTTTGGTGCCCTTCGTTCCTTCTCGTCTCACACCACATTCTATACAGGAACACGCGCATGGCAAAGCTCGACGCGCCCGACTCCCCCTACGCAGCCATCATACTCGCCAAGGCCGGCATGGTCCGTCTAGGCTGGGGCGACCGCATCACGTCCGACCTCGGACCCCCGACGCTCCTGCACGCCGTCTCCCAGGGCGCACTCGCGATCGAGATCCGCGCCGATGACGAACACGCGCGCGCCCTCTGCCGCTCCATCACACACTGGCCGACAGAGTGGAGGTGCCGCGCGGAGCGTGCGCTGCTTCGCGTGCTGGAGGGCGGGTGCAGTGTGCCTGTCGGCGTGCACACGAGCCTGGTTGACGAGACCCCAGCAGAGGGGGCAGAGGAGGGCGAGCACCAGGCAAGGTTGTCGATCACGGGGAGCGTGACGAGCCTTCAGGGCGATCGGCACGTCCAGCACTCGATTGAAGCAGAGGTGAGGAGCGTCGAGGAGGCGGAGGCGGTTGGGGCTCGGCTTGCGAAGGTGCTCATCGACACGGGTGCGAAGGAGATTCTGGACGAGATTAATGAGGATAGGGAGAAGAAGATTGAGCTTGCGAAGACGACTGACCAGAAGGTTGATGCGTAGAGAAGATGAACTAACTTATCGTGCTGTGAAAAGAGCGGGTAATGTGTATCAACAAACGTTGATGGTGCTGTGTACCCTGGAACGTACAGGATCGAGTACCACTGCGGGGGATCAAAGCTGATGCGTCTTGCATCTTTGTGCCTCTCCGTTGAAACAAAGGATCGACTTACGACTTAGTGAGCACGGTGTTTGAACACAACACAAGCATCGCCATTGTTTTCGACCGTCGATGATATACTTCAGAAATCATGCAGGAGCTTACTCGAGCACCCGTATCATTGGAGGCCTGTGTCACTTTTCTTCAAGTTAACATTAAAACCATCTGCGCAAGCTTCCCCCGCCAGTTATGGAAACTGGGGTCGGCGTGGTCAAACGAGGCGTTCGCGCGCGAAGGCAGGAAGCTTGCGGGCAGGTTCAATAACACCGGGGGCATCAACCTGTGGCACATCGTGTCCCATCGCAACCCCATCGTAATCAGAGCCACTGGAGGATAATCACCCAGTTGGGCATCCCATCGTAATCCCCTTTGGGAGGTTTGATAAAGCCATGTTATATGCTGATCTCAACTCAATGTGCAGTGCGCGGCTGGCGTGGGATAAACGTGGGGACGCGGCGAGGCATGGTTATCTCAACGTGGTTCGGATCACACGTCGTCCTATAGTCCAATGCCCCAGGTGTAAGGCGTTCGCGCTGTATGACAACAACGTCAAGAAGATGCGCCCCGCTGGTCCGCAGACCCCATCTAGTATGAGCGTACAGGAAACTCGGGCGCGGGTCAGGCGGGGATGAAGCGAGGGGATACCCCACTCTACACATGACAATGGATGAAAGGTGCGATAGGCAGTAGAAGGTCGATGTGTAGCACAGTCCGAGGACGTTAGATGTGTGTCGATTCGTTCAATCACATCCCAGTGTGCATTTGCTGCATACTCCTGAGCGGTCTATGTAGCTCTGGATTGGCACTGCATTGATCTCATGCTCATGAAACGCAGTGCCCACGGGTAGGTTGAGAATGCCAACGGAGGTCAGGTTCGTCATTAGAGCAGTACAAAACGTACGATTGGCAAAGCGGGATGCAGCGATGGAGAACATTACAGACAGTGGAGTAGATCGGGAGAAGATTCATGCACGAACGACTAGTACTAAAGAGAGAATCAGCTCTAATGATGAAGCCGCGCATATAGTGGGCAGACGTACATCTTCGTCCCTGTCGAGATACCACATGAGTGGCTCATTTTCACCGTACCCCAAATCCTCCAGCAGCTGCCGGATCGGGCGCGTCCTGCCAAATGTAATGTCCTCGACCTCCCGGTTCGAGAAGAAAGCGATGATGAGGGTTCTTGCGTCCCACACCTCCTTGAGCTTTATATAAGTGCCATGTTCGCGATAAAAGTGCTCGATGATGTTGCCCCACGTCTTCACCATAGACATGACACCTGGATCGGACCCGGGGGGACTATTGAAGCGCGGGATGGCGAACCCGTGCTCGTTGGCATAGCGCGCTACTGAATTTATATTCATGGGCACGCCGAGCCAATAAAGCGGCAGGTTGTTCGGCGTACGCACGTCGACGAATCGATGGTCTAGGCAGTGTGGTAGCTTCCTTTGGGGGAGCATCTTGCGAACGCGATCCTCCTAACAACAACGGGTTCAAAAGCTGCAAAGACGAGGCGTGGTACATACTCACGCCGCGAATAAACGGGATCGGTGGTTGTTTACTTGGGACTCGTTCCGGCGCTGCAGGCTCCGGCGGAGGTGAAGATGAGGGTTCAGATTCAACGGTCGACATGGGAAGGGAATCAGCGCAAGACATCGCGTAAACCTGAATGATCTCGTGAATTATGGATAGACAAGACAAGAAAAGGCAAAGTCTAACTACCCTGTGGCTTGTTCAGTACTGAGGAAGGAAGGATAAATGGGGGAAACGTGGCGCCTATAAGTCGCGTCTGTCAACGCACTCTCACAACCACGTGACAACCGCGGTGGACATTGATTGTGAATATCTGATTCGAAAGGTATGTACTCACTACATACGTATGCGTCTGCCTTATGGTACAGGCTTCACAGAGCGCAATGCTGATTCTATGCCGGGAAGTATTGACTTTGGTTGGTTAACCATATCCGCCGCAATGGCTCGGCTGAAAGCTGGGCTAGGTTTTGACTGCCACGCAGTCTCATTCCCCAGTGCCATAAGTTGCAGACTTCAGCCTTCCTACCAATTCCTCAGCCTGTCTGTGCGGCTGCGCTATTAAAACTTATCTCACCGATGAGGACTATCCAATTTCTCTCATTCATGTTTTCCTGTATGCGTCTCCAGGTCGGAATTGAAGATCATGATCATGGATTTGCCCGTTCAGAGCGAGTCTGACCCACGTCCTCCGATCCTCGTTCGCTCGGGAGGATTTACGGCGCGAGCTGACCGTGACCAGCTCGACTGCGCCAAGAGGGCTCTCGCTCCAAAGACGAGTTTCAGAGTGATAGGTCTGTCATCGTGATCAGCGAAGGCTGGTGTGCCCAACAGCCTACACAGCGCTCATGGGAAGCTTACCTGTGTAGACCATGGGCGACACATGGGATCTCACATTCCCTAGGGCTTGTATAAGCCTCACGTGCGGCCCGCAACACCCCTTTCTTCACATTCCATCAAGTCGCATGTGTTCTTGATCTGTATGCCCTCTTGTGATAGCCTTACGCGTGGAATGTGACGTACCAGTATCATTTAGGTTGCGGAGTGTAAGAAATAGCTTGAACAGGACGGGACGCATATCTGTGCGAGATCGCATACGGATGATCCGATACCTAAGGAAGAGCAGAATGATGTAGATAGTTAAGGTGCGGGAGATCAATACAACAATAGCGATACACATGGAGCCTGACTTCTACCAAACCTTCCCGCAGACGGGGAACTCAACTCCCCGCTGTGGCAGCAAATGTGAGCGTTTCCAAGCGTCCGCGGCCTTTGCACTCCTTTTGCAGGAGCTCATTGATGATGCGGAATTGACCTGGGTCGATGAGCAGAACCTACGTACGATGTGACTCGTCAATTACAGAGCACGCAAGCCCAAAATGGGGCAAGCTAATACTCACCGTCTCCCACTCGTCTCCTCCCTGCTCGTCCTTCTCTACGCTCTCCGCACACTCCAACACCTTCGTCCGCAACCTCTCTACATCTCCCTTCGGCACGCTCACTTTCACCCTCATCCGCGCGCGCTGGATTGGCAGCTGCGAGTGCGTCTGAAGGAGCTTGATGCACTCCGACACCTGCGCCTTCGCATTCTTGCCCTGCTTCACGCTGAACCCCGCCTCCGTCATCGCTTTGTCGATCACCCCGACGGGGTAGGGTCGCTGGGTAGAGGGGTCGACGCACTTCTCGGCGACGAGCGTGGCGATCTCGCGCCGAACGGAGGAGAGGTCGTGCTCGCGCTCTTTCTCGCCGACTTGGACTTCACCTTTCTCCAGGATCTATCATAGCGCGGGCAGAACGCGTCAGCCATTCAGACCTGGGCCACATCTAGAGTGCGAATGTAGAGGGGGACGCACCTCCTTGACGATAGTATTGGTATCGGTGGTCTTGAACGCTTTCTGGAGCTCGTTACTCTTGGCGAGCTCGCCTTTTGAGACGTTTACGAAGACGTTGGCGATCTGGAGGACGTCATCGATGTTGGTCTCCACACCGCTCCGCCATTCCTGGACTTTGTTCTTGTAGCATGCGATCTGGGCACCAGGTCAGCGTAGCCGTGATAGATGCACGACGGGCTCGCGGTACCTCGAAGCGTTTGCCTCCCTTCTTCAGCCGAACGATGGAGACGTTTGTGAGCCTGACATGAAAGATCAACCGTCAGCCGTTTGTATAACGAGCGTAGGAGATACATCACACTTGATTTGATTCGAGGGTTGTTGGATAACCATTGTTGGATACGATAGATGAAGGACTGCGACAGGATGCGAGACAGGGAGCTCGAAGGAGTTGTTCAAACAGACTTTAGAGACTCGGAGCCGGGGCCCTCGACTCACACCCATGACACAATGGGTTGCCATATCCGGCAGCTGGGCATGCGGCTGCGGTTTCGCAGATTCCGGGTTCAGCGCATTCCCTCTCCTTCTACCCCTGTTGCCTCACGTCTGCTTGCGTACACCTCACCCTTGCAACGAAACTTGCAAGATACCCCGGAAACCGGAATATAGATCGCGATGAAGGGAATCTCAAAGGCGTTTGCGCGGTACGTTCCTCGTCCTTGGAGAGTGCGCGTGAGACCCATCGAACCTCTTGAAGGACACCGCACATGCTGTCCTCCAAGGTCGGCATGTCAAAGAGTGCGTTCCTCTCATTTCAATCGTCGCAATTCCGCTTCGTTCCGATGGCCGATCTTTCATCTCACGCGCAACCTGCGCACCGCATCCTTCTGACCGGCAGAGTCCTCCGACCCCGAGTTCGAGGACTACGCGCGCCGCTTCGAGTCCATCGAGAAGGCGACAGAAAAGCTCCTCAAGGACAGCAAAGCCTACACAGAGTCCGTCACGAACCTTTTCACGAACGCGGTCGACTTTGGCCAGCACTTCGCGACCATCTTCCACCCGCTCGGCAGTGAGTATGGGCTGGAATCCAAGCATCCTGAAGCGGAACATACGATCGCGAACGTGGACGGCTACGCGGCGACATTGGAGGATATGAAGTCGTCTGTCGTTCCGGAGCTGGAGCTGATCGAGAGCAGGATCGTCGGTCCTATCAAAGAGTTTCAGGGGATCCTGAAGGCGATCCGGAAGAGCATCACGAAGCGGGAACATAAGGTGCGTGCTGTGCCGCAGATTCTTCACTCCCTTATCGCTCGCCTTTCCTTGAGGTGCGCGGATGAGTGGTACCATCCCCATCTTCTTGCCGGTCATCTTCGATGCTGCTATAACACTGGCGTGTTCCCTGGCTTGCTCTCGCCTGCTTGTCGACTTCCGGCACGTGCTAACTCATGGCATAGCTTGTCGATTACGATCGCTTCAACAACTCCCTGACGAAACTCCGAGACAAGAAAGAGAAGACGCTCAACGACGAGAAGAACTTGTTCAAGGTGCGCTTCCCGTGCTCCTCCGTTGGTGTGTGCTCACTCGCGTGCAGCTCGAGCAAGACTTCGAAGTGGCGTCCAACGAGTATGAGTTCATCAACACGGCGATGAAGAACGAGCTCCCCCGGTTCCTCGTCCAGGCAACGCAGTTCATCGACCCACTGTTCCACTCGTTCTACTACATGCAGCTCAACATCTTCTACCTGCTGCTCGAGAAGCTCAACTCGTTCGCGGAGGGCAAGCTTGAAGTCTCCGTCCCCGCTGCGCAGATCGCGACCGACTTCGAGGAACGTCGGGGGGACGCGCTCGAGCGTCTCACGGCCCTCAACATCACCCAGCGCATCATCTCCACTTGTACGTGATGGTTATACTCTCTGGATTACCGATGCTCATTCTCCTCGCACAAACTTATCCAGCGCGGCTAGTGCAGTCGCAGCGCGCAGCGTCCGGCAGCGGCGGCCCGCCCTCGCTCGGGCGCACCCAATCCTCCGCAAGCTCGACGGTGAGCCGCTCCCCGTCGTCGTCGACGTTCAAGAAGGCGCCTCCCCCGCCTCCCTCTTCTCTCGGCGCCCCAGCCGCGCCTCCCCCGCCCTATTCCCCCCCTGCAGCCGGCTCGAACGTCGGCGCGGCGGCGGCTGCTCTAGCGAAGAAGGCCCCTCCGCCGCCGCCTCCGCTCAAGCCGAAGCCGAAGCCGGCGGTGCAGTACGTCGTGGCGCTGTACGACTTCGAGGCGCAGGCGGAAGGCGACCTGGACTTCAAGGCGGGGGACCGGATCGAGGTTGTCGAGCGTACGGAGAGCACGGAGGATTGGTGGACGGGGCGGCTGAATGGGCGGCAGGGGGTTTTCCCAGGTGTGTGTTTTGAGGTTTGGTTGTGGTGTAGGCTGTGGCGGGGTGGGATGAGGGGACATGGAGTGCTGACGCGTGCGACTGTAGGCAATTATGTGCAGGACGTTTGATGATGTTGGAGCGGGGAGGACTGCACGATGATGGAAGACGTCTCGACTTGGGGGTGTATGATCTCGCGATTTACTTGAATATTTTCAGGTTGGGCGCTTTTTGTTGCCTTGTCTACGGTGGTCCTTACAAGAGGCATGTCTGGTAGACGTACTAGGCAACGCTAATGACCAAATCAGGTGAAATTCCCCCGAATCAGCCATGTTGCAGGGGGTTTAAACCCCGCAGATTTGAGCACCAACCCGAGGAGGAAATGCGTTTACGCACATTCCCAGAGCCTCGGGTGCAGCCGTGCTCTGGAAATAGTGTGGGACTCCTCCGGCGCGAACCAACCGGCCATACCCCCTAGCGGTAAGCGGGAAGGCTAATTCCCGGGGGCGGTCTCGACCCCAGTGCTTTCTGCACTTCTGGACACTGGGTTTTTATCGAGTTGCTCGGTGGTACCGCTACGCCACCGCGCCCCCGATTTACTTGAATATTCTGGTTGGCGGTACAGACGACCGCTAGAGCGCGATGGGATTGCTATCTTTCTCTGGAATACAAGAACTACATCTGTATATGGCCGTTTTAACCGACGGCGGGCAGTGTTGCATCATCGTCGGTGAGTGCCAGACCTTCTAGAGACTTCCATTATGACACTGGTGCCGCTTCCGCTGTGCATCGTTCGTGCACTGTGAGTCGATCTTCCCCTTCGTCTCTGCCAAAGGTAGATAGACCAATCATACATCGCTAATCACACGCAGGAAACTGGAAGCGATATCGCGCAAAAGTGCTACTGTACAAGTAAAAGAAGATACCACTGACGCTAGTATTCAACCAAGTCCTCGACGTTCAGGTCCGGCTTCGACTGCTTCACGGGGGGTTTGGCGACCTGTACGATGCCACGCAGCGCGATCTGCATGTCGCTCTCCCACTTACCAGTGATCGCCGCGGGCAGGCTACGCATCAGCGCCTCCACCTCCGACACATGTGCCTTGAGCTTGTCCAAATCGCGCCTCTTGTGAACTTCGGAAGCGGGAGCGAGCGCCTGGAACAACGCCATCGCAACCTTGAACGATTGGCTGATGAACTCGGTCAGAGCACGGTAGCAAGGGCAAGAACCTCGCGGATACTCACTTCAGCTGGGTAAGAGCCGACTGCACTTTCTCGAGTTCTAGGTGCCGTACGATGTTGAATCGCTTCCTCTCCGAGCTCCTTGCCTCGTGTAGGTGATTCTTCATGCTCTCGACGACGATGTAGAGGTGTGGGATCGGGCCAAGGAAGAGCATACGGTAATAACGATGCGGCCACTCCATCCTCTCCGCCTCCGCAAGGAAGGATTCGAAGATTCGCCGTCGGACTTCCTCAGAGGACTTCCTCTTCACGCGTTTCTCTTTCCGCAGGATATGTTGCCGATAGGCCTCTGCAATCGTCGTGGCAGCAATGATCTCCTCGGCTGTGGGCGCTGTCGGTGCAGCGGCGGTGTAGTCCGAGTCGATGGCTTGTGCAACGTGCTCAGCGTCCACCGCTTGCTCCGCGGTATCTTCTTCGTCATCCTCTGCAGTAGCGGGGTCCTCATTATTCTCGAGCTCAGCGTTTTCCTGAGGTGCGGCCGGAGGGGCGATCGGAATGGCCTCCGTTCCAACGTGGTCTGCAGAGCCCGCAATGGACCCCTCTGTCCTGAGCAGCCGAGGGATATCCTCGAGGCGATTGTACACGATGTGTCGAACGTCGTATGTGGACCCCTGCTCTTCTGATCGGGGACCATAGCGGAGCTGTACCATCTCATCTAGGCCCGAGCCCTCGACAGAATGCCGGACCACACGAGCGAGCCGATCCCAGCTCCTCGCAGTCACGTACCTAAATTGGTCAGCTGTGATTACTAGTGTCGACATGAAAAGGCATACCCCTCGACTATGGTATTGAAATTTCTTCCTGGTTTGTTGATCCCGGCGATAGCTCTCCAGATAGCGTTGCGAGTGTACAAGGGGCTGTTGTAACCCCCTAGAGCATGTTCGAGTCAGCACCTGTACATAAGACGACAATGTTACTCACAAAGGCACAGGTTCCTACAGCTGTTCCTATCATTAGTGATCCTGATTAATGAACAGAGCATGCCGAACTTACATCCTAGCCAAGAACATAGTCCTGAGCTGATAGCTTACCGTATGCAGTTCTCGACCCTCGAAGGAAAGGTGTGCTGTTAAACGCATCCATCAGTCTGATCGGCTTGACCGTGTCTTGTATCTCTCCTACCTGCGCCCTGTCCAGTGTAGAGGGGTTCTAACAGCTCGCTTATTTTTGACTTGTATATTTTCACCAATTGCGTGTCCTTCACACGCAATACTTCAGCGATGGCTACGAGACGGAGTAACCAGCTCTTGGGAAGCATTAAGCCGTGCAAATTTCCGGTCGCCCGTAGCCGCGAAGCAGCGAGAAGCGAGCCGCATAGGTGATCCATGAAGTCGCAAAGTACCCCGATGTCGATAGGAACCCTATTTTCCAGGATGTGGCTGCACAGCAACGGCTTTGAGTCACCAGTATTCTGCTGATGAAGAGATGACGTACTTCATGAACAGTACACCTTTGTTGAGTGCGCTGATGTCGCTGTTCTGCATTGAATCCAAAACGTAGTGCACGATATACACGTTGGTTTCGCCGCTCCGCATTAACGCAGACGGTCGATGTGTCATGACGGCTGGTGTACGATACACATATTCCGACGCGTTGTTGGCATCGAAGACGAACGCCAGACGAAGCCCTTGTATGAAGTTGGTTATGAACGCGTTCGACTGGTAGGCACTCAGCGAATACAGATGTTCGTTCACCCAGGATTTGATGACATGGCCTCCCACTGTGAACTCCGGGATAAGCGCAGAAGAGAGGAGGTGTATGGAGCCCAGCTTGTAATATGGAGGATAAAGAGCGTCGTAAAGTCGCCGAAGCCAGTGACTGACGGACAAGGCTGTTAGCTGTGCTTCGACAACATAGCCGAGAGGATTTTTTACCGTCGGTGCCGGGCGTGCTCATGGAAGTCCTCAACAGCATGGAGCGTTTGATATATGAGTATTTGTAGGATGTGTATCCGAATCCGAGTATGATAAGCAGCAGCGTCATAGCGCTTGGATTCGATGTGAATGCGAGCACAGTTGGTACGGTTGCATTGGTGGAAGACGGCGTGAGGCAGGCAAGGTTGTAGAAGTTGCAGGCCATAGCACATCTCGTCCTCTTCCTTCACCCTCTTCCGTAGGCGAAGTTTCAGAACGTGTATGATGAGCTTCTCGAGCTCCCAGCGATTGACACGAACGCCTTGCTCTGTCTCTTGTGCTGAAGGAGTGAGACGATCGTCGCATCCCGCGGCAAGGATAGCGCCCTTTGGAACAAGGAAAGAGTCTTCTGTGATAGCTTGGAGCGCGAAGACTTTCCGAACAGTTGGGTCGTCACAGGGATTCTTGACAGAACAGAGCTTTTGGAGCATACACGCATACTGATGGAAAGTTTGGAGCGCGTGCACGACCTGAGACGAGGTTGCAGTCTGGAGGTTGAGTGGGACGGAAAAGACGCGATCCAGACATATGAAGGCAGCAGGACTAGTAGCCTCCGAAACACTGAGCTTCTTCGCAAGGATGAGCAGTTGTTGTACGTCATGCTTTGTGATAGCTGTGAACATGAAAACCTGGGGAAAGGTTGTCAATGAAACATGGAAGTGATTAACACAATTAGCACACCTGATCGCGTAGCAGTTCATCGCCTCCAGACACGCCTTCCATAGTTTTGGCATATAGCAGCAACTTGCGAAGCACGGCGTTGGACCTAAGTGTATCCTCGTTCACGGGCACACCGCAGGAAAGATTACGCCAAAGTCCCTCCAATAGACAATCTAGTGCGCGCTTCAAAGAGGTTTCGTTGCTGCCATCCATTGAGAGGACCCGAATAGCCTCGAGCATGTTGCCTTCGCTGAGATGGACGTCGGCTGCCTCTGACAAGCGTCCGGTATCTTCGAGGAATTGCGCCCGCGCGAGATCGAGGCCGAAGTCGTCCATGTACTCGAGGGCGTCGTTTTCACTTTCGAACAATTCCATAGCTTTCCTGGAATAATTTCAGCCATGGGAAATTGAGAGAAATCGAGTGATGACATCCTCGTACTTAACCTGCTTTTCTCGGAGAAAGTATAATCTCGAGACGTCGACTATGCTTTCGACAACTTCGGGCTGCATCCTGTCCTTGTGAGTCTTGATGATCTCCACTGCTTCCTCAAACTTCCCAGCCTTCCGGTAGTATTGAGCGGCAAGAGTGTATTCCGTAGCCTGGGCATATGCCCAAGCCGCCTCGTAGTCTGAACCAGCGTCGACGTAACACTGTGCGGCGATCCGGTAGTAAGCGCTCTTCTCAGTAACCGCTTTCTGCGCTGAAGCAACAAACGCATGAGCGGCTGCAAGGAATGCGGAAACCCTGGAACTGGTGTCCCCGCGACTGATGGGCCTCGTGCGTGCAAGTTCTCGAAGGTAGTACGCATTTGCCACTGCTCTCTCCCGTGAAAGGCCAGCGCGCTCATAACAGTGCATAGCCTGCATGTAGCGCCGGTTGTTGAAGAGAGATAGCGCGGTCTTAGCCCAGTCCTCGGCAGTAGACGACATGGCAAGGCGTGGAACATCTGTTCCGGGAGTGCAGTTCTGGATCTGGTCTTTCTGCGTCCAGACGAGCTGATGCAGCCAAATCAGTCATCACTAGGTTTAAAGATGTCACAACGACTCACTCTCATCGGCTCTCCTTTCGTGGAACCATCTGCGATCCAGAGATTCTTACGCGCCCTAGTGATCGCGACATATAAGAATTTGAGCTGTTATGGTAGTTTAGCGTCGAAAACTGTGCTGATGCTCCACAAACAGACCTCACGACAAACACCGCCGTGGCGCGCATCGTCGAAACGTGGTGCCGGATGATTGGCGCGCTGAGCCTCAGGAAGGGCATTCAAGACGACTCGCCACTGAGAGAGATCGGTCGTAGAGTCCTCAAAGAAGTTATACAGCAAGACCTGTCAGTAGGACAAGTTAGCACAGTCTCCTCAGACTTGAAATTCCACGTACGTCGTTGAACTCCAAGCCCTTGCTCTCATACAGAGTCCTGAGCAGAGGGTGCCCAGTATTAGCATCCGTTATGGACTTCAGCCCATGTGCTTAGACCTACATGATTAATCCAATATCCCCAACTAGTGCACGCAACCTGTCACGGGCAGCTTCATCACGAACAAGGATGCCTAGTATGGAGGCTCGTCAAAACCACCCTATCATTCGCACTGTGCGCAGTTTACTAACATTGTTCGGCGCCGAACTCAATGTGACTTCCACTATGTAGTAAAAAAAGGTCAGTGGCATCCTCAACCGTCCGTCTCGATTCCACACTCACGCTTCTCCGAACAGGAACTGCTCGTATCGAGCTGTGTCCTGGTCCCATCCACTAAAGAACACGGGTTTCAACCCATGTATCATGCCTTGTTCCGGCGCCAGAGCGTCAATAGCGTGAGGCCAAAACTGCGTGATCAGTTCGATGACAGAGTGGGCGCAGTCGACGATGCCAGCATGAGACCTGTAATTGACGGCTAGATGGAAAGATTCCGGCTGCGTGCGTCTCTCAGTGTTCCCGCCAGCGTTCGCCTATGTTGACAATCAATAAGCAGCCATAAGGTAATCAACCTAGCACTTACCTCTTCGACTCGGTATAGGAATGCCTTCAAATCGTTGAAGCGGAAGGCGCTTCCGACAGAAATCGTCTGGGCGGTGTCTCCGGCCCAGAACATACCATGTGGGTTGCTACAAAGCGTTCTCAAGACTTCGAGAATGGTACCAATTACTATTACAATCAAATGGTGGAGAGAGGATTCAAGACATACCAAGGGCATCTATCAGGAGGTTGTCCTGAGCTTCGTCCACGTAACTGCGAAACCAGTCAGGTATATTCATTGGAACGGGGAGGGGCTCATACATGAAGTCCATCTCTTCTCCCGGCACGCCATTGACACGAAGAAAGTTTACCAGGGCATGGGTTCTATCTCAACTGAGTACGCTTCGAACAACACTTAGAAGTGACCCTCACCTGTCTGCAGCGTCATAGTCCCCTCGCGCCTTCTTTTTCTTGAGGTACGTCTCGAACAGCGCGTACACGGTCTCACGCTGGTTAGCAAAAGTGCCTTGCGTGCGGTGACTGAGACCAAAGTACATATCCTTGGTGAGGTACCCTTCTGCGCATTCTAGGGTTGGCTCTGAGCCCTTGATAACCCCTGTCAATACCCGCATCAGCATTCTATTCGGATAGATAGACCCCTGCTTAGGTGTCTTACCCATGAACTCGCCGAACACCAGGGTTGGATCTACGAGGACCGTCACAGATTGAGCACTCGGAAAACGAGACTCTACCATGTCATTTCACGCACCAAGACCCTTCGTCAGCGCCTGTGGGAAGTGAGACCAGTACTCTTCCAAGAACGTTCCGAAAGAGACAAAATGATTACGACGTTGCTGCATATAGTCGTTCGAGAGCGTGTTGTCTCTCCCGTCGGGCTCCTGCAGCTGAAATGCATCTTGTATCGCTCGAGAGACAGCCGCCTTACGCTCGATGTCCCGCTCAATGTGGCGGAACTCGCTCTCAAGGAGTCGACAGACCTGTAGGACTTCCGCATGAGAAGACGAAGAGCAGTTTCCACAAGCAATGAAGCATACGTGATCATATGTTAGGAACATTGGAAAATGCTCCTCCTTCAGCGCACCGTACCGCTTCGGCAGGTCCCCGCGCCAGTAGATCTCCTCGTCACGATCGACGAGCCCCTGCTCCTGCTGGTGCTTCTGGCGCTCTACGAGGCTCTTCAGCTCTGACGGAGACCGCCCCGCCGTCGCGAGGGACTCGAGCAGCTTCGTGAAGTACTCCTCGACTTTCTCGGCCAGCACGCGCGACTGCGTTACAAAGAGCTGCCGGGGCTTTGGCATTATCTCGCGATGCAGCTCCCAGGCGCGCTGGATACCGAGCATCTTGAATAGCATCGTGGTCGTTTTCCTACGCGAAGTTTAATGCTAGTGTGCGGTTTTTAGGGAACTACGTACCCAGTGCCACTTCTCCCTATAGGTACTGAGTCAGCACTGGCTTTCATATAGGAGACAAATGTCCATACCGAGAACATAACATGACGAAGGATGCTCAATGATCCTCTTCTCTTGCAAACTGAACCAGATCTGGTCAAATTCAGATCTCCGAATAGTTGGGAAGCGCGTACGAGATCTCAAAGACGTGCGCGACATCTTTGTCCGCGATGATGCTATTGAGAAGCGCCTGCGAAACTCGTTGGAATTGCGGTAGAAAGAGAACATAGGGGAAACATACCTGAGAGAACGTCACAAACTTCTCCAGGCTGATACATAGCCGTCAGTATTGGAGTCAGCAGCACTTGCATATATTCACATACACCAGCAGCGAGTGAAGCTGACGCGAACATTAGCACACTGAGCCACCAGAACACCATATCGCTCTCACCTCCTCGTAGTCTTCCTTCCTCATATCAGTGATACCAGATACAGGCTCGAAAGTAGGTACGTCCACTGGCGGAGGCCAGGACGCAGGCATGTAGACGTTGTCACCAGGGTTCATTGGAGGGTTACGGAACATGCATCTGTCACCGACCAATCGTAAGCCCTTCGTTTCGATCAGGGGTGTATATATATACCGTTTCTTGTATTCCGTTCCTTTGCGCTCCAGCTGGCGACCCATGCAGTCCCAGAACCGACGATCAAGCTTTGCGTGTGTGTAGACGCCGAATATCTTCAAGACTGGGAAGGCGTTAGACCCTATTTGTCAACTTCTCGCAATGCCATCATGGACGAACCTTGCTTTTCGACCTGTTACATACTTGACTTCAGCACCGAACATGTCGCTGCATAGTAGGTCGACTTACGTCGCTCTCGAACTCAGACACACAATCCACCTGGTACTGCTCGACAGTGAGTACACATCGCGACCCGCCTGATGTAGCACACGTACGACCAGCCGCGTGTCGCCGGTCATCTTGGCTTCGTATATAGGGACCTCCACGTCCAAGCCAGTCAACCGCTTCTGGTTGTCATCCGAGAAGTGGCCGTTGGACAGCTCCCTTCGGCCTGGTCAGCACGCACACGCATACATCGACACTCAAGACCACCTACTTGATCTTTTTGACGATGATCTTGAACAGCTTCGTGTTCTTCCGGCGCGCTTGGCGCAAATCCCTGTCCGCACGAGTGGAGATGAGGATGCGCCACTCCCCGAAGCCTTGCACACTGTCGAAGTGGAGCGCGGCCTTCATAGGCTGCACCTGGGGATACGCAGCTGGGGCGTTGCTAGTGGTGACTTCAGCTTCCGCGGACGATTGCCCGCTCACAGCAGCGATTGGGGGGCGGTCTTCCTGGTGGGTCTTGGGAGGAGGGAAATACGCAGCCTTGAAAGCTGCAGCGTGGCCTTTCTCTCTGAAGGCGTTGAGGTATTCCTTCCCGAAAACGTCAACGGCGTTGCTAGGATTCCTACGATTCAGATTACGTACTTTGAGGATCGACTTCTGCTGCTCGAGCACGTTGGTGCACAGCTGCGCAGACTCGGCGGCAGAAGTCGGGACGTCGACTCCATAGTCAGTGAAAGGCTTAGATTCGACGATGGGGGAACGGACAGAGCGCGCGGACGCACGGCTGTCCCGGCGGGACTGCTGCCAGCGGTTGCGCTGGGTGCGTCGAGTCGTCGGAGACGAAGGAGAGGTCTCTCCGTCATCGATCACCTCCTCAGTGAGCGACAGTCCAGCGATTGCATGGAGGACAGGGCGGCTGAGTTGGACGGATCTTCGGTGGTCCGTTAGCCACGTTGGAGTGCTGCTTGTGGACTGGTACGGCAAGAAAAGAAGCGAGAGGGAGAAGCGTTCGAGGAGGCGAGAGACCAAAGACGACTCAAACATTTCGGGTTTAGTGGGAAACCTTTCCAAGATGGTGTCGTGTAGGAGCACAAATGCATGATCGGTGGAGTCTACGGAACGGATGAGTCGATGCATTGTGAGAGTGGGAAGGGGAACATACGAGAAAGGACAAATTCAAGCAGTTGAGGGACCGACTCGAGGGCAGCGAGAAGCTCGTCTTTGTCAATCCCTGGATCTGAGAGTAGGAGCTCGAAGTGACACATCGCATTTTCTATCGCAATGTCATCGACTAAGAGCGTCGAATTCAATAGCTCGACACATTCTTGGCCGACAGCGCGGCCGTTGCTTGCAGACTTTTTGGTTTTGACGCGAAGAATTGGGGCCATGGGAGAGTGCCAGATTGTGGACAAGGTGAGTGGGTAGTATCGGGGAGGGTTGGGGAACGAACACGAACACAACGCGTATGCTTTTGAGTGACATGTGCGGTTCCTATATTAATGACAATGGCAACGAGGCGTCCAGGATGGGAAAGTATTCGGGGCCTTACAGCACAAGGTTTGACTTGGGATCGATGGTAAGGAAGCGCCATGTTCCAGGCTTGTCTGCAATGCAATTCGCGAGACACGAATGTTTGCGTCCACTATGGCAAAGCCATTTGTGATCACCTCTATACGAGTTGGCTACGAGACACAAGCGATTATCCGCTGCGACGGACGAAAGTATTGGGGCGCCATTGTGCACGTACACGCACTGTGGGTCCTTGGGAACTTTGGCGTGAAGCTGACACGGACCGGACTGGTGGGTGTGCTGCGGTAGTCCAAAAGCGCTGCTGGCAGAAGCAAGTTGCAAGTAAGCTGCCGGGCGTCCAGATGGGCGCTAGATGCTACCTCGCGGTCCCGCAACTCCACACCGGAGCTAGGCACCGAGGGCACTAGCATTGAACTATAGGGCAACGTGTCCCATCGTAGAGACATCGTGACCTGGACCACACTGAGCCATCCATGTCTCTCCGCGTCCCATCATTATCTCACGCCAGCCGAACCCTGTACAACGAATGGGATTAGCATATAACACCGTCCTATCAAACCTCCCGAAGGATTTTGCGATGGGACGACAAAGCAGGTGATGACCCTACACTGGCTCCAATTACGATGGATTTGCGATGGGATACCATGTGCTACGTGTCGATGGCCCCGGTGATAATTTCTCTTACCGTACTTTCCACGGACGTTATGCGTGATAGGAGAGGTATGATGATGAAAATTCGACTGCATAAGAATCATGATCATATGTACCAACAAACACCGTAGCGTAGCACACCGTGATAGTCTGAGGCCACCCACCACAGACATGGACTTGGACGTAAAAGTCAGGCGTCCCACGATACGCCAGAAAGAGAACGTGAAGGAAAACAGAATGGTCCAACGAGGTCCAGCCTTTAATGGGACCAACCCTTCATCTGATGGGCGTCGTCTGTGGATATACTGAACGTCGTCGCTCAACAGGTTAAGTACAGACGTCTTAAATATGGTTAAGAGGGGAACACAGGCAATCGAACGAGTGGGAAAAGGGAGGAGAAAGAAGTAAGGAGAAGGGGCCTGCTAAGAAGTCACAATACTCACTAGGAAACCCGCGCTCCACGAAGAGAATGCCACCGACCGTTGTAACGGACACAAGGTGAACATCACAGACCCAAGCGACCTGTTCTCTAGCAAACGAGTCCATAACAAGGCGAATGCGGGGAAAGGTGTCACACCGTCTCGAGGGAGACACACCTTGAGCAAAACCGCTCCTCAGTCACTTGCGACCTGACATCTTGACATCTTCCCGCGCCCTGGAGTAATCTCTGTTTAGAGCAATTTGCTGAGATCTGGTGCGGACTGTGCCAACTATGAAGCAGAGGGAATAGCAGTATCGCAGGGCACAGAAAAGGCAGCCGATTGCGAGGAGAGGGCGAGAGTCGGAGAGCGGGACTGGGAGAGCGCAGTAGTCCAAATATGGAAATCGCACGTGTCGGCCTTGCCGACTCGGTTGCCAACGTTGGCGAGTTTCAAGTCTGCTAAGTATTAGTTTGTCTCTCCATAGCCCGTCGTCTCTTCCTGGCACTCTTACACCTTCTGTGATGGGATAGGGTACCGAGCGGGCGGGAACCAGGACGAGGAAAATGGACATCGATCTTCCACCTAGGCCACCCCCGACGCTACTCCGTTACCTCGTAGCCCTACGCCTCGCGCTATGTGCTCTTTCTGCGTGCAAGCATCGACGGACTCTTCCTCGCGTTCTCGAAGGAAATTTTGATGTATACACATATTCACACGACTCACACTTTCACTTAATCCTCACTGGTTGAGCGCTCTGTCTCGCATACTCGTTACTGCAACACACTCTTCATAACCGATCCGAATGGTCATTCAGCAACCTTCTAGCTATACCCACTGTGATCATCCTCTTCGCTCATTATGAAGACGCTTGACAGGTGCCGCTCATCATGTATCCGCGGTCCGCGCTGCGCCAACACGGTGCCCAGATCGCACGTTACAGGACCAAGGACCAGGAATGGCGAAGCCATGTCATGGTCGATATCGATAACGTCCTCCAGATTACCACCGTCTCCATAGACTTTTCAAAAGGCGAGCCCGCCAAAACCAACCAGCTCCAGAAAGCGTTCAAGACCACGGACACCACACCATCAGGGAGGTGTGTCTCTCTCCATCCACGCTCTAGGTCTTGTCCAGTTCTGAGAGGCCGTCACGTTCTCTTCCCCGCGTATAGAACGGCGAGGTGCAACTAGAAAAAAAAGAATGCGAGCACGATCTGTCCTCCTTCCGGCGCGGGATCACCTGACGCCGACTCTCGGCATTCAACTCCGGAGTACTCTGTACGTCCTCGTACAACACTACTTGCTGTCATGGTGGGTAGAAGGATCTATTCAAAATTGCGAAACTATCAGGCTCAACTTTACACGGAGAGTACCTAGATAACATCACGGAGCTTCACGGGAGACGGTAGATACAAGCGACAACGAGAGTAAGGATACAGCAGGACAAGAGCATACAAGCATGTTGTACTAAGGGAAAAGACGACGATAGCTGATATCGGGCGTTTTGACAGGACGAGTAACGGGAGCGAGCCTTGGAGATCACGACAAAGGTATTAACGGCAACCCTCAATCACATTACACCTCCTGCGGCCAGAGGTGTCCGAGGAGGCACGGTGCGATATGGGACGGCACTACGACCTTCTCTCCATCGAGAGGATGGCGCCTTGGGAGGAACCATGTCGCTGGGAAGGGAGCTGTTTGTCTCGTTGGTTGGGGAACGGTGAGCTGCGACTCCAGATTACCCAACCTGTCGTACGCGACCCGGACTACGAATCCCGGGGTGCGCATAGGGTCCGTATCTGCTAAAGAGCTGTTCTGTATGTGGACGAGCTGGTCCATGCGAGGCAGAGCGGGAGGGCTCAGCCACCAGATGGCTTCCCTGAGGTGCGTCCAACGCGACCCTGCGGACAACCTCCTGGGGGCCCAGATATGGTGAGTTGCCAATCGAACGCAAAGAAATTGACTAACCGCAAGTGAGGCGGACGATAGTGCACCGGAATGTTGGTCACATAGCCGACCATCTCTAATCTCTCTTCTTCTGTATGTTTGAGCCAATGTCCCACTGAATCGAAGTAAAGCATGCAATATGAGCTTGAGAAAATGGCTAACTCTGCTTTGACGGTGTCGGGCTTACCCAAAGTAAGTGCCTTGACACTTGGAACCATTAACGTTACATGTGATAGACTTCGGTAAGAGCAACAAAATCACTCACACGCTGGATACGTAGGAAAGGATATCATTCGACAAAGGACGAAGGACCCTGCGGATGGAAGCACCTATTTCGATATATGTCAGTCCATTCTGCCAGACTCGCAGCTAGCGACTTACCATCCGGAACGGCGCAAAGACTCCCCAGAAGCGCTGGGAACAGCTTGATAAATTTCTGTACGTGCTCGTTGTGGTGATGCGTCGGCGGCTTCGCAGAACTCCACAGATCCGCAAGATTGATGACCCAACGGCGCACTAGTATGACATTGTGCAAGGGCTTGTCTTTTCTACCGCGGTTGGCGAGAACGATCGCGGTGGAAAGCCCCTCTGTGATATAGCTTATGACGGCCTCACGTCCAAAAGATCCACCGCCTCCCTCGAGCAGGAATCTAGAGGGCATCAGTGAGTTCTCTGCCGCATTACGTCAGATTGGAGAGATAAACCGCACTGTAGATACAACAAAGCACCAGGCATCTGGAAGTGCGAAGGCTCGTTCCTCGAAGCGTAGTCTCCGAGCTGCTGGAGGTGCTGAGAGTACAACTTGCCATACCACAGCTCCAGGGGAATTGGGACAACGCGGGATTGCGGAGACCGTGGGTGATCTTCAAGCTTATCTAGAATATACCCTAGCAGAGCGGCGCAGGGTATCAAGTCTATCCGAAGCGCTCCAGTCGAGATCCAGTGAGTCGAAGCAGGCGTGAAGGCAAAGTACAGGATGTCGATAATCCACGAACGTATGACGCGCGCGGCGTCTGAGAACTCGGGGACGAGCGAGCGGTGGAACATCGAGGGTGTGCCCAGGGAAAAGAAGGGGATATGGAGCGAACTGGAGAGCGCATACATCCAGTACGTTCTACAGGAACGATAACGACCGAATGTAAGTTTGACACCACTCTCCGAGAATCGTGTGAGTAGAACACATACCGCTCCCTCCAAATCGCGTCATCATTAGCGTCCAAGGTCCCATAAGCTATGATGTTTTGACATAAGACACGAATGCGAAGATGAAGTCCGGAGACGTTCAGAGAATGTGATCCGGCTTGATGCGTCCAGCGGCAGGTGGAATTCTCCAGTCCCAAACAAAGCCCCGACAAGCAGTATGATATGCAGGGTTGTAGAATCGCAAGCCTCTTGCAAACATTGTTGACCAGGGAGACGCGTGCATGTAGGCGACCATCGAGAGTCTCCCGTATGACTCGAGACAGAGACGTTGCGGTGATGACAAGTCCACCTTCCCCAGGTATAGCTTGACAATCAAGGTCCTTCATTTCGCGTGAGGCTTGGCACAACAACGTTCCCGTAAGAAGGCTGTAGGAACCTAATGTGTTCGTGGGACTGCGGCGAATACCGAGTAAGCGACATAGGTGTGCGTCACGGTGATGAGACTTGAGAAGAGTGGCGTAGGTGCAGAAGGCTGGGAAAAACTCAGGAGAGTCGACGAGCACGCTCGGCTCCAGTGAAGCATCTTCAAGCAAAAATGCGAAGGCGTAGTCCAGTGAAAGCAGTGCAGCATTGGTTTGATTGCCCACTGAGAAAAGCTTCACTCCGGTTTGCATGAGATCCGCTGCCTGGCGGGATATGATGGACGAAAACATGTGAGTCTGTCACATTAACTCATTGTCAGTGGATGGTAGATCTCGCCATTGAACTTTGCATGTTACCTCGTTGTTGTCGCGCTCATAATCCCTGTACCGTAGGCCGGTAAGTGACTTTCGGTAGGACACGAGGTCAATCAGCACGTCGGGAACATTGGAGTACTTGTTCTCTGGTTGCCCCATGGTCCGGAGCCGCCAAAGTTCGTCAAGGAGCCTGTTAGTTCCCCGTGCGACCGAACCATGACTTTCATCGCGAAGGAAGAGCGCAATCGCCTTATCCACCTGGTTCAGCTCGAGACGGACTTCTGCAGCTTTTTCAAGAAGCCCTAGGGACTCGAGATATGTCGCGAGATGACCGATGAGGTTGTGAGACCGAATGAATTCAGAGAATGTGTCGAGATCGGGAAATAACTCTGCAGCCTTCCTATCAAGAGGATGTATGTCAAATTCTCAGCTGACGTTGGAAATACAAATTACAACACGCACTCTTGCTCCCCTGAGTCCAGGAAATGCACACAGACCTTCCTCAAGACGTATGCATTGATCTCATTCCGGTGCCGGAGAATAACTTGCCGAGCTTCATCCATCATTGAAGCCTTGATGTACTGCTGCGCGCATCTTGTGTACGCACGAGCAGTGTAGTACAACGCTGCGCTCTCGGCGAATGCTCCAGCACGGCTGTAACAAATGGCCGACGCGATGAGAAGCTGTTCATGTTCAGCCACACCAAAGCACAAGTCCGCACAAGACTTGAACGACTGTGCAGCCTTGCGGAACTGCTCGACAGTGACTGCAGCTTCCTGATCAAGGTATGCCTGAGCGATATCTCCCTCTCGCCTAAACCCGGCCTGTTCAAAGCAGTACTTCGCCTGTTCGTAGTTTTGTTTGTCCATCAACGATCTGCCTCGTTTAGCCCATTCCTCTGGCTCAGGCGTCTTCATGGAAAGAGATATTGGTTGATTGTCCTCGTTGACGTCAACCAATCCCAGCTTTTGCCAGACAGCCTGTGACAGCCGTCATTAATGAGATTACTTGAAATAGTGAATACAACTACTACCAGCATGGGATCGCCCTTGGATGACTCCTCAATTATGAATAGGCGATTACGTGCTCGGGTGATCGCAACATACAGAGATTTGAGCTGCAAGCAAAGTGACTGAGACACGTGTAAGAACTGAGCGACCAACGCACTTGCCTCTCGACAGACATGGCGGTACTCATCCACAGATCGGTGCAGTGATCGCGTCAAACGTCCCAGGAACAGATCACATATGACGCTCCATTCCCTCTCGCTTGGATCTGTGCTGTCGAAGAAGTGCCAGATGAAGACCTGGTAAGAAGCCAGTATGTCAACGATGAGTTAAAGCGACATTGAATTCCGACATAAGCACTTACATCATCGAACTCTAGACCCTTGCTCTCATATACAGTCCTATACAAAGTTAGCTTGGCATCCTAGACACAATCCGTGCCCTCGTGTAACTCACATGACTAGACCAACCTGTACTCCCTGCGAGAATAGTGCTTTGAACAACCTCTTTCGAGAGGCATCGTCACGAACGATGATGCCTGACCAAGGCAAGAGACAGGTGAAATCATGGTGAACATAGGAACCAGAGTATACGTACATTGTTCAGACCCTAGCTTGTCGAGTCTTTCCCTTCCTAAGCGTCAGTAGAAGTCCGGTCAACATTACTAAACAGCACTATACCTCGCTCCCATCTTGTCCTGTCGAGAAAACAGACTGTAGATGTCCGAGCCTCGGACAAACAGCGGCTTAGGGCCCTCCCTCCACCCTCGATCTGAACTCAGCCTGTCAATGGATGCAGGCCATAGCGCGGTGACAATGTCCACGACAACTTGAGCACAGTCGGTGATACCAGCATGCGACCTGTAGTTCACTGGTAGGTGAAAGGTGCGAGGTGGGATAAGCGATTGTGATTTATCATATGTACGTTTCTGGGATCGGGTTCACAGTTAGCCCTCAATAGTAAACATACGGGAAGCACCTCACTTCGACCCGATACATCATTGCTGTAAGCTCACTAAACTTGAATGAGCTACCAATGGCGATTGTCTGTGCTGTATCGCCAGCCCAGAATAGTCCATTGGGATTGTCACAGAGCTTCCGCAGCACTGAATAAATGTGCTAAATGCATGTATAGCGTAGGTTCACGGAAGCTGAGAACCTACGCAGCATATCAATGATGAGGTTGTCTTGGGCCTCATCATTGAACCTAAGGAGAGTCCCGCACGTCAGAGATTCAGCCACTGCTCTCTCGATGAACAATCATCTACAAGAAGTTCACAGGTCTCCCGGGAAGCGTGTGCGCGTTGATAAGCCTAAGCAATCGATGCGTCCTTGTGAAGGTGAGACTAGGGCGAAACATGTATATCTGGTCATTCACACACCTATCTGCATCATCATACTCATGTCGACGTCGCTTGAGTAAGTTGTACCGCTGCAGGATATCGTAGATCTGGTTCCGGATGGACACGAAGGTCGAATGTCGTGGGCTTAGACCCAAGTATGCCTCGCGGTCAAGATTGCCATGAGGTGTATCGATCGTCCCCTCTGAGCCCTTCAGAACACCTACGATAGCGGTCATCAGTAGTATCCGCAGGAGCTATCAGCCATAGTAATATACCCATAATCTCTCCGAATACGGAGACTGGATCTAACCGATATCAGATGAGTCCATATACTCTGCCCCACGTCGAGTTGAAGTTACTTACCCAATCCTCTAGTCAAATGTTGCGGCAGATGATCCCAATATGCCGTAGCGAATCTCTTCCAAGAAACAAACGACGCAGCATGTTCTTCGAAATCACTGCCCCCTTCTATTGTGAGAATGGTGTTACGAGAGTGTGGAGTAAACTCACATATCCTCGCCCAACTCTCCTATAGTCGTGGCCATAGAGGGGTCACAGGCAGCAAAGTCCGCTTCTAGCATATCGCGCAGCTATCACACCGAAGTGCTCAGCTCAAGCATCTCTCAAGGATAAACAGACCGAACCAACAAACCTGGTCAAAGCTGATACACATGGGGAAATGCTCATCGTCAAGGTCGCTCCATTTCCTCGGAAGGGGTCGAATTTCATCCATCGGGTCGACCTGTCTTCTCCATATGTCCAGTAGCTCTTGCTGGGTCAAATCTGCAAGCTTGAACGACTCCAAAAAATGATCAACGGTACGCTGCACTTCAGCTGCGAGCATGCGCGAGCGAGTGACGAACAGTTGACGAGGCTTCGGAAGCTCCGCGGATATGCTAGCCCAGCCCCGCTCTCTAGATACTATCTTGTACATCATGGATAAGGTCTTCCTGTATCGAAAATTTGGGGCCAATTTAAACATATGTATTGTTTAGCAACGTTGCGCCTCACCCCGTGCCAGAGCGACCTATCACATAGCATGAGTGAGGATGCTCGATAATCTCGATCTCCTTCGTCCTAGCAACAGTGATATGAGGTCAGAGAAAATCCTACGAAGGACAAATGGAGTTAGATACAGACGAAGGTCGGAACATGAACCTGATGTCTCTGTCGACGAGGAAACCTAGATTGCATAGGATTGAATCGCGCACATGCGAGTGAACTAGCGGAGGACCTACTGTTGAATAGGCCCTAGAGAAGGAATATCAGCCAATAGCGTGAATCAAGAAAGGTTTCTCTTACCTTGGATAGTGTGACAGACCTATGCATCGATAGAACCTCGGAGTACTGTGGTTTACTTGAGTGTCAGCTATGAGAACTGGACGAAAATTCTCGCACATCCACGTCCTTGAGACTTGCTAGTGGCAGGGGCTCATCTTCGCCTTTGTTGGCCTCTTCGCTCTGCAACCAAAATTTGACCGGTGAGAACACGTCTCTTGCGGTCCTCGTGGGTTGACTACGGGCTCGACATCTACATGCCTGGTGTCAAGACCTGTCCAGAATATCAACCTGCAATCCCATGATCTACCGGTCACGATATTCTTTTCCCTTCCGTCCTAGGTCTCGGCTCAGCTCTACCCAGAAATTCCCCTTGTGTTTGAGCTCAGCGTGATTGTATACTCCAAAAATGCGGAGTGCTATATATGCCTATCATGAGTCACGATGCGTACGATGAAAAATACGCCTCGCGCGTGCCTTGGAATTCTGACTGTATATTGTATATGAGGATGTTTCTGAGTTAAGTCACTGTGATACTCACATCGGAAACGAGATCCTTTACGCAGTCTACTTGATACTACGACGGACAGTCAGCTATGACAAGTACATATATGTATGTATGCCTGTGACTCACTACCAGCCGGGAGACACCAGTCATCTTCGCCTTGAAGATGGGAACGGAATTTTCGGTGTCGGAAATGAGGATCTGGTTATCCGGGGAGAAGTGACCTCGCGAGAGGTCCCTGAGGTGCAGCACACGGAGAGATGAAGAAAGGTCGCATGAAAGAACGATATAAGGTCTGTACATACCTAATTTTCTTCATGACGACACGAAGTAGCTCTGGAGACTTCTTTCGCAGCTTGCGGAAGTCGGAGTTGGCGTTGTCGGTGATGAATACCTCCCATTCTCCAAAGCCCTTCACATGATCCTCGTAGAAGGCTGCCTTCAAAGGGAGAACGTCCAGGGCAGGGTGGGCGTTGATGGGTGTTTGAGACTCCGGTGGGGCTTCGGGCGTGGCAGTCTCGTCGGAGCCAGAGGACTCCGGACGCGCGGAGTCCACGACAGTCTCCATCTCGGCCAGAGCGTGCCATCGCGCGATGATGTCGTCCCGGGCGGGACCTCGCAGTAGCGAGAAGAAATGCTATGAGAAGTCAGAAGCGTCCTCATTAGGGAGGGGAAATTGTACCTTAAGTATACCTTCTTGATCACGGAGGATCTGGGTCTCCAAGGCGAAGAGCTCTTGAGGGTTTGAGGGAGGGTCCACGCCGAGGTCTACAAACGGCTTGACCCGGATATCGGCCTGGCTCCATCTCTGGTATGTTTCAGTGTTCTTTAGAGGTACATATATGATCTATCAGATAATCAACTTACACTGTTGTCGGACAGCGACGCTATCTCAGCAAGTGCTGGCCGAGCGAGGACGACGGCCTTCCAGCACTCGTTCGAATCGCGAGACTTCCCGAGCTTTCCTTGCTGGCTGACGTCGGTCAGGGCAGTGGCGAGGCTTGAGAGCAGAAACGATGATAGACTCCCGACGAACTGACGAGCCGTCTTCGGAAACCGGGCGTAGATTTCTCTTGTAAAGGTGGAGAAGGTCGCATCGTTCAAGGCTGCACAAAAATTTTCAGCGATTGTAAGAGAATCGATGATGAGTTACTCACTTGCTAACGCGCTCTCTGCCCTCCCATGGCTCCCCATCAAACGGCCGATAACGCTCTCGAGGTCTGAGAATGAGTTGTACAATGCATTTTCGATGTCGTGGACGTCCGATATCATGTCCGCAGTCGTTGAGTGAGACATTGAGAGAAGAAGACAGGATTTTCGTAAAGTCTGGACGAGGCGGATCGGTGCACAAGTCAAAAATCCTTCGTGTATACACACTTACGAGCGTGGAACCAGAGCAACTGTGCTGCGGTAGACGTCGCCACGCGTCCAAGACGTCACAGCGCTCCGAGTTATCCATACCTTGTTCCTGTCTCAGATCGTATGAAGCATTATCTGTCTCTCGCCGCAGATACTAGGGTCCCATCCTAGTGCGCGTATGAACGTCTGAATGAAGACGAAGCGTACTTCAATTATTCGGGGAGGGGAAGTCCTAGTAAAAGGTCTAGCTGGTAAGCCTCGTGCCCCGGCGTGCATGTCAGCGAGCGATCATCAGGTGCAAATCATGCAAATCATGAGAAGCGCAGACGGGATTCTAGGCAATTCCACTCGGAACATGAAGAGATTAGAAGACAATACTAGCATGCTAGAGTGCGTCTCCCTAGTCACAGTCGGCGACGGTCGGGGTGATGGTAGACACCGAAAAGTTTCAGATCCTGCCAACAGTACTTCATACCTAACGTAAGAGACCACCGCTCGCGCGACGTGGGGCTCTGTAGCACGATATTCCTCAAAACATAGTATGAGCTTGGCCACCGAAGCTCACGTGCTGCGGTGCCTGTTGGCCAGCGAAGGGGGCAAGCTGCAAACCTTGTGCAAATTGCCTTGTGCGTACAGGCGCCCAATGTGCCGCAAGAGCTTGCCTTCCACTCCCGGTTCGTCAGTACGCCTCTTTGGCCCGACGCAGCGTACGTGCATAGTATACTACGCAACCGCAAATTTCGACAGTGCAAGAAAATCGACATGTACGGGTACGCTACCTAGATGCAAGAGACCCAAGACTGCAACTCCGGAGCCGAAATCACAGACAGCGAGCCCCGGGCACGCACTCACTGGTGGTCTTCTTGAACGAACTGACCTAGTGGCAGAGTCCTTCTTCCTCCTATCCTAGTTCGCCTACTTCGTGCTCCCGTACGTGCTCCGCTGAGTCAAGACGTCCTCCGCCGACATGTCGGTCTGGTATGCCACCATGAGGAGTTGTGGCCGCCTTGATGCCAACGACGCGCTCGATAACGACCAAGGGAGAGTGAAGGTTTTGAAATGCGTGTATGCTTCTGCCGGCACGGTGCGACGCGTTCATCAGGGGCAAACTCACACCAGTAAGGGAGTCGATGCCATCGTGGATGAGGTGATATCAATGGCGGTCTGGGCGGCGAGAACGCGCTTCGTCGAGCGATCGTACAAGGTCGCCAGTCTTGTTGATGTCCGGAGGCAATGTTCAAGTTGATGCAGAGTGAGACGATGACGAAGGATGTACTGACCAGAATGTGTCTACAAGGGTGAACTGATAGGAGCACGCTGACGGACCACACATTGAGCCTAAACGGACGCCCCACTGGACATGTATGAATGCACCTTGTATTTGATATGAAGACTCGACGGTCAGAGAGCTTCGACGGATGATTCGCAGGTGTCGACAGTCGAGAGCTTGGTCGGGCAAGGGGAGACGATAGGGGGAAACGGGCGCAAAACGCGTTGAATCGACAGTCGCTTGTGAGGTAAGCCTCCTGCAGCTCCAGGCGCAGACAGCTGAGCAAGACCCTGAGGACAGCATACGAGCCTGGCGAAGGCTGCGAGAGGGTGTGAATGGGAGGCGGGAGTGTTTGACGGGATTGTGGGCTTGAATGCGGCTGCGCTGAGAGCAGCAACGACCGCACGGCGAGGTGTCCTGCGGGAATTGTGGCATGTATGATGGAGGTAACAAGGAGAAGCTTAGTTCAAGCATCCATAGTCGGCACACGTAAATCATATGAAGCTGAGATGAAGGGTAGGCTCACGTTGCACACGAAAAGCCCGAGCCGAAAACTTTCATACCGAGTCCCTGAAGCGCATAATGCAATTCCCAGAAAACACAATTGCAATGGAGGTATCCAACGGTGAATTTAACGCACCTTCCGAAAGATCGCTGATGGGTCCCCTCAGCCAGCCTGCCAGAGACTCCGCAACACCCATGTCTTGGGCTCTTTAGCACGAATCACTGCAGAGACGCTTGATATAGTGAGAAATCCAGGAGTCATTGTAGAAGGACAATTGGAGAGCCAGAAGAGCAAACCAGTAGGGGGAAGCACGGTCAGCGCAACAGAGAGAACTTGAAGGACCGCGCACTTGGCGAAGTTCGAATCGAGCACACGCGCGGCGAGCATGTGATTGGCCACCGCGGGCCGCGCACTCAAAGAGGACAGTAGTCCAAACATGGAAACCGTACGTGTCGGCCTTCCCGACTTCAACGTTGGCGAGTTGCAAGTCTGCTAGTCTGTCTCTCCATAGCCCGTCTCGTTCTGACACTCTCACACATTCTGTGATGGAATATGGTACTGAGTGGGTGGGTAATAGCACCAGGAAGACGGGCATCGATCTTCCACCTACGCCATCCCCGACGCTTCTCCGCTACCTTATAGCCCTACTACGCCTCGCGCTACGTGCTCTGCCTGCGCGCAAGCCTCCAAGGACTCGTACTCGCGCTCTCGAAGAAGATTGTCTTACGCACGAGTCACACTCTCACTGAATGCTTACTGATTGAGCGCTCTATCTCACATACTCGACGGTATTGCAACACCCTCTTCATAACCGATCCGAATGGTCATCTAACAACTCCCCAGCTAGATACACTGTGATGATCTTCTTCGCTCATTCTGCAAACGCCTGACAGATGCCGCGACTAGGATCTCATCGTGTATCCGCTGTGCGCGCAGCGTCAACGCGGTGCCTAGATCGCGCGTTACAAGGTCAAGATTAAGAAATCACTGAGCCGCTTCGTGGCCGACGCGGATGACGTCTTCCATATCCCCAATGTCTTCGTCAAAGTCTCTATAGCCCAAATTTTCAAGAGCAAAGAGCTCTAGAAGGCGTTCAAGACCACCAACACCAACACCATCGTCAAGGAGGTCTGTCCCCCTCTCCATCCGCACTCTAGATGTGGCCCAGGTCTGAGTGGCTGACGCGTTCTGTGCGCGCCCGCGCTATGCTAGATTCTTGATAAACTAGAACGCGAGAAGCAAGCCGGCGAGAATGAACGCGAGCACGAGGAGTGCCTTCAGCTCCTGTAGACGCACTCGCAGCTGCCGATCTAGTATGCATGGTGAGGGTAAAGGTGAGCGCGCCGAAGGGAGATGCATAGAAGGTACGTATGAAGGTGTTGGGTTGTGCGGAGAGAGTGGAGAAGAACGCGCACGGAGGAGACAAATGGGAGATGGTGAGTATTGACTTGCCTAATTGTGGGCTTGCGTGCTCGGGGATTGACGAGTCGCTTCACGCGTAGGTCCTGCTCATCGGCCCTGGCCCAATTCATGTCATCCCACCATGGGAATATACCAGGTGCTGCAGAGAAACATAGCACCGTCTGCATCGTTCATTCACTCTCTATATATGCTTTGTCCCTCGTTCAGGTATCTGTCTGCAGAGAGCATGGTGAGATAGGCGGAAAGTCCGAGCACGTTCATGTTTCCTATCTGCGGCTCATGCACTTCATTGTGTAGGTGTGCCACATGCGGAACGATATCGCGAGGTGCGTACAGAGGAAAGGTGGACACTACAGGACGAAATACTACGGAATAGCGCTCTGGACAGTGCGAGAAAGAGATTCGTGACGAAGTGTATGAGAAGAGATACGGCAGCAGCAGGGCGATCATAGACAGTTGCAAGATGGTGAAGACATATGGTAGAGAGACGGTACCTGAGTCAACGAGAGTACAATAGGAGGTGGGCGGTCAAAGCAATATACAATACGATGTCTGCTGAATGTTCCATAGAGGAGATCAATTCGAGGTGGGTGCATAGGGAGAGTGAATACAACACGAAAGCTCTGCAACGACAATGACATATCTGCACGACACGAGATTCCAGGACACCAATGGCGGACGTAAAAGGCGGTAATACGAAAGGGATCTGCGAAGGGATAGCTACGAAAGCCCGACGACACAGGAAAATACGAGCATGGGGACACAAGCGTCCTATGACGTTCCTAGGATAGGGATCATACCGTCGATGTTTTCCCTCTTCCAATCCTACAACACGGGTAGCGGGCCCTGCTGTCCGCGCAGGCACAATCCAAGCACCTGCTTGGGCCCCTCGGCTGTCGGGCGGGCCCGCGGGAGGAACCATTGTGGCAGAAAGGGTGTCGGTTGCGCATGAGTTTGCTGGATAGAGAGAAGCGATGGCAGGTCTGTCAGCGACGTGTATGTCACGCAGACAATGGTCTCGTAAGTTTCCATAGCCCTGTCCTCCGGAAGATCTTCGAGTCTCTGGACGTGAACGAGCTCTTCTGCGCTGCCCCGATCTTGCACGTTATACTGCCAGACGGCTCGCGCCAGATCCTCCCAATCTGGAGTTCCTGTCGTAAATAACGTCCTGCATACATGTTTAGGGTCCCGTCCAATGAGGCGGAAGAATTTACCCACTGGATGTGATGTGGGCGGAAGTGCTTCGAAGTTCGCCCGATCTGACCGACTATCCTTGAGCGATCATCATCTTGAGCGAGCTGGAGCCATTGTCCGACTACATTCCGAAGCATATATGAGATATTGAGCGGTTAACGTTGAACATTGGGGCAAGCGTACCAAGGAAGAATGATTTGATACTAGCACGATCCAATGTCAATATACTGCAATAATATACTGTGATGCCTTGACTTCGACTTACGCTCTAGATACGTTAGCAACGATATTTTGAGACAGAGAAGTGGGGGATCGATTGGCAGCTTCAGGACCCACAGCAAACGTCAAAACACTTTCTATGCACAAACGTGTGCGACAATCACTTACCAGTCGGCAATTTGCACAGACCCCCCAAGATTGCGGAAAACAGATTGAAGAACATCTTCGGGTATGTGTCGACATGCGGATGCGGTCTTGATGACACGTTCCATAGGCTAGTGAGGTTGATGAGCCATCTACGACTGAGTACGACATTGTGCACGGTGGGATTGCTGCGGCGACCATCGGCCAGTATGAAAGCTGTTGAAAGTCCCTCCATGATGTGCGTAAGGAGATCTTGACGTCCAAGCAAGTGATCACGGTGTTCCAAGAGAAATCTGGTGCGTATGTGTGGTTCATGAGCGTGCACAGAGAAGCGTAACACTTGAGACTGACCGTATATACAATAATGCACCGGGCATCTGGGCATATGCCGACTCCCCAGCGGCATGTAAGAATCTATGGAATTGCTGGAAATGCCTGCCGTAGGACTGTCCGTGGAAGCGATCCAAAGGGATATTGATGAAGGGAGATGTTGAATGCGCACCCCATCGAAGCTTGTCAAGCATGTAGCCAAGTAGAGCGGCGCATGCTATGGCCGATGTACGCAGTGCGAGGCTAGAAATGCAATGGATGGAGTTCGGAGTGTATGCGCGATAGAGGATGTCGGTAATCCACCCATACATGACGCGACAAGCATCCGTGAACTCTGGGACGAGGTTGACATGGAACATGAATGAGGTGCCCAGTGCGAAGAAAGGAACGTGAAGGCAAGTGGTGAGCGCGTACATCCACATGGCCCTGTAGAGGTGGTCAAGTAAACGAGAGATGCGGCTATTTGGAGAGAGCTCTGGGTTCTGACACGTACCGTTCTTTCCAGATTGCATCATCGGCGGAATTGACGGGTCCAAAGGCTATGATTACTTGGCACAAAGTACGGATGCGACTGTGCATGCCCTCCATACCCAGAAGATGTGCTCCCCCTTGATGCTTCCAGTTACATGAATTGTTCAGGAATCCGAAACAACTTCCTGCCAGACAGTACGAAACACATAGTCCAAGTATCGGCGCCTTCTTGACCATGTTGTTGATAACTAAGGCCTGAGACCGCAGATGTTCCCTCAGGGTGACACGGAGGAGCCGGGATAGAGAGCTGGCTGTGATGGTAAGAGCGTCTTCTCCAGGATGGACTTGCAACTCAAGACCTTGCATAGAGCGTGCCGACTTGAATAGAAGGGTGCCCGCCAGTAGGACGTAAGACCCTCGCTTCGCAGAAGGTCCTTTACGAATTCCGAGAATTCGACAAACTCGGACATCACTAGATAGGCCTTGAAGGAGAGTAGTGTAAGTGTAGTATGCTGGTAGAAAGAAGGAAGATGCTAAGAGTGTGCTTGTTTCCGACAACGTGAACTTCTGTTCATGCCAGAATTTGAACGCATAGTCCAGCAAAAGCAGCGCTTCATCGACATCGCCACTCGAAGAACGATGCATTCCCATACGCGCAAGCGCAGTAGCGTCCCGGGATGTGAGGAGAAGGAACATGGAGATCTAGTCAGTGTTTAGGTCAAACTAATTCGTGGACATTGAGTTGGCATGTCACCTCGTCTTCGTGAATTTGATGGTTCTTATACTGGATGCCGAACAATGCCTGCCGCTGCTTTGCAAGGTTCACAAGCGTTTGGATGGGTACATTCGAGGTCTTCGACACCTCATTGACAGATTGTCCCAAAGTAGAAACTTGCCAAAGTTCGTCCAGGAGTCTGGTTGTTCCCTGCGCTGCTGAGTTGGGATCCGGATCACGGAAGAATAGTGCAATCGCTTGGGGGATATGAGAGAGACCAAGATGGATCTCCGCAGCCTCCTGGTATCGCCCCAATAGCTCTAGGTAAGCAGCAAGGTGAGGCTTCATTCCGTGAATCTTCATAAATAGGATGAGTTCTTCTGTGTCAGCAAATACCTCCGCTATGCGGCTGGACCACCACAGTGTCATTGATTGGTGCTGATCACGACACAAAAGCAGCACATACCTGTACTGGCCCAGGTCGAAAAAATGTAAAAGGACGTTCTGCATGGCTCGAAGCTCGACATCGTCCCGATGTTGACAAATGACATCCAGGGCCTTCTGCCACGATGTTGCCTTGCAGTATTGGACAATGCACTTCGTGTACTCCAAAGCAGCATGGTATAGCTCTGCGCTCCGCAAGTTGTCACGGGCGCGACTGAAACATGTAGCGGAAGCAAGGAGGAGCTCCTTTCTGTCTGCCACGTCTAGAGTTTTAGCAGCACACGACTCGAACAACTGAGCAGCTTCCACAAATTGCTCGGCAGTGACTGCGCTCTCGCGCAGGTGATACGCCTGAGCAATGTTTGTTTCTCGTGGGAGGCCGGCCCTCTGAAAGCAGTACTTCGCTTGCTCGTAATTTTGCTTGTCCATGAGTATCCGGCCTCGTTTTGCCCAGTCCTCAGGGAGAGATTTGGAAACGGGCAAAATCCAGGATTCGAGATTGCTTGCGATGTCCAGTTGATCCTTGCTGCGCCAGAGATTCTTTAGCAGAAATGAATGAGCTATGATAATTCGGTGTACACAATGGTAGGAGTTACCAGCATTGGGTGTGATATAACCGTCTCTTCGATAATGAACAGATGGTTACGAGCCCGTGTGATTGCGACATACAGACACTTGAGCTGTGAGCGAATGATCTCAACGACAAGCCCGAGAAAGGTGTGAAATATACCTGCCTCCCTGCATACATTGCGGTACTTGTCTGCGGGCTGAGGCGAGTACTGCTCCGAGTGTCCTGGGGCGCCGCCGACCACCGCCCATTCTCTCATACTTGACTCTGAGCTCCCAAAGAAGTTCCATAGAAATACCTGACATCATACCACCAGAATCGATTTAATCTGTGAGAGGTAACTAGAGGATACAACTCACATCGTTGAATTCAAGCCCTTTGCTCTGCTCCACGGTCCTATAGAAACTATGTCACTTTCGTTCTCGCATCATGGTTCTGTATTTACTCACAGTGTTACGCCACCAAGGACGCCACGGGAGAACAACGCGTCGAGAGAGACTTCGTCACGCACGATGGTGCCTTTCATGCACAACAAGTCAGTTTTGTAGAATACAAAGAAGGTATAACAGCTCGCACATTGTTCAGAGCCAAGCTCAAGTCTACAGAGAAATGGATGATGTCAACGAGTTAACATGGATGGATCAGCATCTAACTTACGATACTCCAAGATTCTCTCTATGGCCGAGTAGCTTGAACAGTTCAGTGGAGCCTCTGATGAAGATGGGCTTCGGGCCTCGCTTGTGGCCCTTGTCGCGACTCAGCTTGTCAGTGGACTCTGACCATAAGGTAGTGAGGAGGTCCACGACGGTTTGAGCAGCGTTTATGATTCCCATATGAGACCTGCGGTTTACGGTGAGATTGAATGTATGCGGTGGGATATGTAGGCGATTAGGTTCCCTCCTCTAAAGAGCAGGTAGAGTATTATGAGATGCGTTTCACCCGAGGCAGTGGAAAACACACCTCCACTCTGTACATGAGTGAAGTTAGCTCACTGAATTTGAATGAGCTACCGAGCGTAATTGTCTGTGCTGTATCACCCGCCCAGAAGATTCCGTTTGAATTATTGCTGAGGGATCTCATAACTAATCGTATATCGAGTCAAATAGGTTGACAGTTGCTTGATGGACCCACAAAGCTTACAGAGCATGTCGATCATCAGATTATCTTGAACTTCATCATTGTACCTGGCTATAATGTTAGCTCTGGAAACATACGACTGAGTCTATGCTCCGATAAAAAGACGCTCAACAGAAATTGGACTGGGGGTCCTGGAAGTTTCTCTTTGACCATCAGCACTAGCAGATTGTGCGTTCTGGTGATATTTAGTTGAGTACGTGCTTGCGGAGATGCTAAAGTTATAGCAAAAGCCTATCACACCTCTCTGCATCGTCATATTCCTGCCGACGCCGTTTCAGCTTAAGATATGCTTCAAAGATGTTGTAGATCCTCTCTCTCTCGGTAGCAAATGTCGAATAGGCCCGCTCGCTTGATCCTAGATACGCTTCCCGGCTCAGATACCCTCTAGCTGTGTTGTGCGCCTCCTCAGAGCCTTGCAGAACACCTGTTACCGGTATCTCAGAAACATATCACAGCTGACCCTAATTCCGACGTACCCATGATTTCTCCAAAGACTGAAGACGGGTCTAGATTGTGTCATGAGTTGCACGCAAGACCTTTCGAATGCATCATAGATCATACTACATACCTAGACCGTGCGTCAACCTTTGTGGAAAGCGACTCCAGTAGGTTGAGATGAATCTCTTTCCAGAGACAAATGACCCTTCATCAAACCTCATATTCCAAAAACCCTCAGATATTGTACACTTTTCAAAGCGCCGATGAACTTACACATCCAGGCTGTCCTCCGACGTCAACATCGGTGCACGTGTACTGCCTGCATAGTCGGCTTCTAACATTGCACGGACCTTTTAAGAGCGCTCTATTACAGGTACGTCGAAAAGTGATACAGGGGAATAACTTACTTGATCAAAACTGAGGAATAGTGGGAAATGATCGTCATCGAGCTGGCTCCATTTCTTGGGAACAGGACGGCGTAACTCCTCTGGTTGATCACGTCTTGTCCTGAGTTCAGCTAGCTCTGCTTGAGTCATCTCAGCCAATCTGAAGGACTCTAGAACTTCATTGACCGTCCGGTGGACTTGACCCGCCAGCATACGTGAGCGAGTCACAAACAGTTGACGCGGCTTCGTGAGTCCCCACGTGTACGAAGATGCCCAACCATGTTCAATAGCGACGATTTTGTACATCATTGTGAGCGTCTTCCTGCAAAGGTATAACAATTCAGCTTTGAATATGACTTCTAGAATCACGGTTCCATATCTTACCCTGTCCCTGAGCGACCGATGACATAGCAGGAAGTCGGGTGTTCGATGATCTCCCTTTCCTCCGGCCTATCTCTCTCGTCAAGGCCGATTGATATACAAGATAGGACAGGGTACTCACGAGGGCTCGTACATGAAAGCAATCTTCCTGTCTGCGATGAAGCCTATGGAACAATGAAAATGTCATAGTGCTCACCCGCACCTCGACCACTTACTATTCAGAAGCGCCTGTCGGGACAAGAGTAGTCAGTCAGCGGCAATAGAATGAAACATCATGTCCTACCTTTGAGAACCCCACAAATCGATGCATCGTCAGCATCTCTGAGTACTGAGTGTACAGAAATTGTCAGACCACTCAAAGATGAGGGAAAACGGACCCACATCGAGCTCAGAGGGAATCTCCCAGGTGGTCAAGGTCTCCAACGGCTCATTGTCATCTGCATGACATGAGAACACCTGAGGAGAGAAAACATCATTGGAAGTGTTCCGCCCTTGGCTTCGCTGCCGACAGCTATACCGAGTAGGATTCGGATCATTCCATCGCAGTATAACTATTCAGGTGAGCCTACCGTTCACGATATGTTTTGCCTTGGCGTCCCAAATCTCTTCCTAGAGAAACCCAGAACTGCTTCATGCGATAGAGTTCGTCATGATTGTAGACACCAAAGATTCGCAGTGCTGTATAAATGAGCCCATAAGATGCGAACTACATTTCACAAAGTAGTTTTGCACTCGCCTTGGCATTCCTTCTAAAGCCATCAAACGTCAGTAGTGCTCATTCACGGAAGTAGCCATTTGCTGCTCACCCGGGACTCTGGATCTGTCACACAGTCGACCTGGTACTATTTCCGAAAGGTCAGCTATGACTGCGTTCCTTGCCCATGTGACATACCACCAAGCGCGTGTCTCCCGTCATCTTCGCCTTGAATATCGGGACAGACTTCTCGGTGTCTGAGATGAGGATCTGATTATCCGGAGAGAAGTGACCACGCGATAAGTCTCTGATATGGTGAGTCCATGACCCATTGAGGAAGAGAGTAGCAATGATTTCGTTAGAGGAAGCGCGTACCGCATTTTCCTCAAGACAATAAGTAGTGTATCCGGCGACCTTCTTCGCAACTGCCTTAGGTGAGCGTTCGCGGCGTCGGTGATGAAAAGCTTCCATTCTCCGAATCCCTTGACGTTTTCGCTATAGAAAGGGGCTGTGATGCTGATGGTATTTTCGAAAACATCGGCATTGACGGTGGAGATACCCTGCCGTTTCGAAAGGGCGGCGACGGAGGCCGGCGTCCGGAGGATCTCCAGAGAATGCTGGAAGGGATTGGAAGGTCGAGGCATTGTTCATAGTAGAAATTTCCTCTCACATACCTTGAGCATGCGTAGCTGTTCCTGTAATATCTCACGTTCCTTCATCGCGAGTTCTTGGACGGTCGAGGGCGTCTTCAGATTGAGGTCTGCGAAGACTTTGACGGCGATATCGCCTTGGGACCAGCCCTAAGAGATGATACTCAGGCCGAGGATGGCTCGATCTGAGCATAATCCGTAAACTCACTGTCTTCGAAGACAGTCTTGCAATCTCCGCAAGGGCAGAACCCGCCAGGACAACACCATTGCGGCGCGCGTCCAAGCTTTTCTTAGACCCTCCCGTCCCCAGATCGGTCGTCACAGCCATCTCCACCAAGGTCGCAACAAACTTAGACAACATTGAAGACCACATACTTCCGCAAAATTCTTTCGCGGTCTTGGGGAAACCATTGTTGAGATGCGACACGACCCGTGCAAAGGATTCGTCGTTCAGAGCTATGAGAGCTCAATGAGCAGATCTAACAATTGCGTGAGGAGAGCTCACTCACTCGCTAGTGCGCATTCCGCTCGTCCACGGTCCTCCAGCAATTCAACGAGAATATCTGTGAGAGCTGCAGCAGGTTGCCATAGCACTGCTTCGATCCTTCGAGTGTCTTCGAGGGCCAGAGATGACATGTTGGGTATGCAGCTGCAGCAAGATCTGATGAAGAGAACCCGTACGATGCTTGGAGGGAATCGAGAAACGTAGGGCAGTAGGCCGCGGGCTACGAACTGTGCTGCGGTAGTTGTCCCACGAGGCTTGAACCTACGATTCGGCCGGCGGCTCAGGTAGTCTCGCACCCTCCCAGTCATCCGCCAAGGACACCTCATTACACTAGGTCACCAAATGACAGATGTTGGAAAGCTTCTTGACACCGTGGATTATTTGATCCTTGAGGCGGATGAAGACTCGGTAAGCGGACATTTTCCCCCTGAAGTGGAATGAACATGCGTACCGCCTGACCGGACGGGGCTCAACGACAAACCCGTGGGGCACTCACTACATCTCACGCAGAACATACCGCCGAGACTCATCACTCAGGTGCTCTGACGACGCATCGGATTGTGCTGGAAGCCTTTTATGTGATCCAGGTCTGCTCATCCGCGCTTTTCATTACAATCACAGGGACACTCTTCACTAACAGGTTCGGGAGGCCGTCGTAAGCCGCAGGGGCTGCAAGCTCACACAGGGCGTCCGACTACGCAGAGTCCACTTCAGAGGCATCCCGGGCAAATGGACTTTATGTGCGATTGATTGTGGTGGTGGGTGGACCGTAGAAGAGCCAGAAAAAAGGACTTCGTTGTTTTCTTGGACTTGAAGACACGCATATCTCGAGTGAGTGCAAGCACGATTTCGTAGTACCAAAGCGACTACTTGTCGGAGTTCCCCTACAAAAGCAAATGCTGGAAACTGTGCACATATATGATGAGCTACGCCAGCCACGATGGACCGCAGACGGAGGAGCGTACACGCATTGTGGGTCCTTGGGAACTTGGTCACCGAAGCGCTAGCCTCGCGTGCTGCGGTACCTGCCGGAATAGGCAAGCTGCAAATGTCACACCGTCGAGCGTACGGAGCGATCACAAAGCATGGTATGTCAGTATTCATTATTGGCAGTAAGAACGATATTGAAGGGTTCTTGCTTGAGCTTCAGGGGTCTGATTGGTCACACCATAAGACCTCGACAATTGCGACTTGTCGAGCCGGTGTGACGTAACGCGCGCGCGTGACAACCGCATCTCGACGGGTCACGCGTCGACCCTTGCCGCACACCTCTTCGGCCTAGCGCAGCGTAGGTGTATGGTATACTACGCACCCGCAAATTGAGACAGTGCAAGAAAAGCGACATTCAGGGGTACCCTACCTAGATGCAAGAGACCCAAGATGGTGACTCCGCCAAGATCGCAGACAGTGAGCCTGAGCACGCGTCCACTACTCGTCTGATTGAACGAACCGTACCTACTAGCAGCGACCTTCTTTATCCTGTTCGCATACTTCTTGCTCACGTGTGTACCCCACTGGGTCACGAAGTCCTCCTCTGGCATGCCGGCCTGGTATGCCACCATGAGGATTTGAGGCATCGCAAAGACACGGTCCCGGTGGCCCCTCGATACCGACAAGGCGCTCGCTAACGACCAAGTGAGAGTGAAGGCGCTGGATCGCGTGTGTTATCCGAGGCCGGCACTGTGCGACGCGTTTCTTGAGGAAAACGCGCACCAGTAAGGGAGTCGATGCTATCGTGGATGAGGTGATCTCGATGGCGGTCTGGGCGGCGAGAACGCACTTCGTCAAGCCATCGTACAGAATTGCTGGACTTGATGATGTCCTGAGGCAATATTGACGCAGAATGAGACGGTGACGAAGGAAGATGTACTGACCAGGATGTGTCTACAAGGGTGAACTGACAGGAGCACTCTGACGGACCATATGTTAAGCCTAATCAGCCGCACCACTGTTCATCTGTGAATGCACCTTGTACTTGACATGAAGACTCGACAGTCAGAGAGCTTCGCCGGATGATTCGCAGGTGTCGACAGTGGAGAGCTTGGTCGAGTAAGGAGGACGATCAGGGAAACGGGCGCAAAACGCGTCGATTCGACACGTCGCGTCCTGTAGCTCCAAGGACAGCTGGACTAGACCCTAAGGGGCAGCATACGAGCCTAGCGAAGGATGCAAGACGAGATTGCGGGCTTGATCACGGTTGTGCTGAGAGCAGCAACGACCACACGGTGAGATGTCCTGCAGAGATTGCGGCATGTATGACGGAGGTGACAAGGGGAGGCTTCGGTCGAGTACCAATAGTAGGGACACGGAGTCCATATGGACTGAAAGGTATGATCTTAAGGAAAGCAAATACACACGGTAGGCTCACGTTGCACGCGAAAAGCCCGAGCTAGGAACTTTCATGCCAGGTAGCAGTCCCTGCAGCGCATAGTGCGATTTCCCAGAAACACAGGTGCATACATGGAGGTAGCTGACAGTAAAATCAACACACCTTCCGAAATTCGCTTACGGGTCCACTGCCCCCTCAGCCAGCCTGCCGGAGACTCCGCGACACCCATGTCTCGGCTCCTGAGGACGATTAACTGCAGAGACGCTTAATATAGTGAAGATTTCAAGAGGCATTGTAAAAGGACAACAGGAGAGCCAGCAGAGCAAGCCAGGAGGGGAGGCATGGTCGACGCAACAGAGAGCACTTGAAGACGGGAAGAGGGATGAGCCCTGCGAAGTTCGAATCGAGCTCACGCGCTGCGCGAGCACGTGATAGGCGCATCTCGGCTTTCCAGCCCCCGATGTCGAGTCTTCTCCCTCGGTCACCGTACTGCGATATCTGACGGTCATCTAGTCAATCGACTCCGTCGATCGCACATCGTATGAGAACACTAGGGTTTGTCTCACACCCTTTTCTGAACTCAAACATACCGTGTCATTTGTAGCGTTCGTCTCGCTTGTGCCCTATGCTGCCTCTCCGAATCTCTTCCCTCGAGTCTGTCAAATACACGCTGTTCTCGCGCTTTGGTTTGGAAGTGCCTCACATTGATACATAGCATGAATACAGATTGCAGTCTTGGTCCTAATTGCCTGTCTATTCAACTGGGTGTGCGGACGGTGGATGCCGTCTCTCTTTTTCCTGCAATACAATGGCCTTTTTGTACTGCCACTTATAACCGGTCTCTCTGGTCGTCTCACCTGAGTGCTACGGCCGTGCAGTGTCCTACATATTGATGACTTGGCTGGTGTGGTTGCACTCGTATAGTCATTCTGCTCGCCTTACCATACAACGTCGGAAAATCTAGCTTAGCGTTGAAACATCAACGCTTCAGGCTTCAAATCCTGCGCAATCATGATGTTTCGCACAGTTGTGATGCGTCGCCCCTTCACATTGACCGTCTGCTTTAGTTTGAATGATACCGACGCCTTTTGAGTACTGCACTTAGCCTAAGCCATAGCGTGCACTTGCATCCCGGACCAATACTTACAACACAATCCTCCGCACATCACTACAGAATGGAGGGGGATTGTCGCTTGATATCGTATACCCTCGTCTGCCTTCCGGCAAAATTGTCTTGTGTATGGATGCTGCGTGGTGGACCGCGAGTTTACACAGCACTCGAGCGCACTGGGAAGCTTGAGGAGCCTAACGAACTAACGGCAGTATATCAGCCAGTTGGTTGAGATGTAGGCATCTTTTCCCCTGCTTACATTTCACTTTCAGTTAGCGTTCCTGGACTGACCTGTTAAGTGTCTGCCATTCCGACGAAGCACGACTCAAGCGATGTCGTGGCACGGCCACCAAGCTCTCGGCACTCGCTAGCTTCGTGAGTGCGCCAAGGGGTCCCACACGTACAGTCGGTATCTTACGCACAGAGATGGTTTTCTATACGGCTGACCTGTGGAAGGGCATGTCCTGCCTGACAGTGATCATGTCTCCAAGTCGGCAAAGAGCATGAGCAACTTCTTGCACATACAATGAGCGTCGGTCTCAATTTAGCTGCTAAGCGAGACACGTGGCTCGTGGGTACCCGGATTCGAATCGTCGTTCCAGCTGTCGCCGGACTGCCATCTTTATACCCCGTCCCCGCTTCTCTTCTCGTTGCCTGCAGCGTCGAGCTCGTCGAGGCCGGCGGCGTCCCTTCTCCTACCTCCGTGTCTGTCGTAGACTCGGCTTGACTGTCCACAATGGTGTCCCAGCACCGCCAGCAGCTGTCGCGGCTCTTCATCCCGCCCACCCTCGACTCCCAGCAGCCCATGAACTTTGCAGCCAACCCGCCGTTGTTCTCTCCAGCACTGCCAACGTCGCTCCAGCAAGGCATGCACCCCCCATTCGCGCTCAACGGCCCGCCGCAAAACCCCCTCCAGACCCCCATGCAGGCCAACTTCTTCCCACAGCAGCCTGGCGCGCCTGGCCGCCCGTCGTTGCACCGAAGTCACCCCAGCGTCATGCAGCTCGCCGCCGCGGGCATCTTGCCCCCACCAGGCATGCCGATGACGCCACTCGGGCAGGGCGTTTTCCCGCAGCCCATGGTCCCCGGGCTGGCACCGTTCGCGCCGCCCTTCGTGCCGAGAAGCAAGCGTTCGGCGAGCATGAGCGTAGGGGGGCCGCCGAAGGCCGTGCTGGGGGGACCGCAGAGGAAAGTGAGTCCGATGCCTGCGACGCCGGCAGCGGCGGTAGCAGCGCCGGCCACGCAGCCACAAAAGCCGAAGAAGGTGCTCGTTAACCTGCCTCGAGAGACGATCCCTGGAGAGGGCGACGAGCCGCCGACCCGTGCGTCGTTTGCACGAGTGCCTCTTGTCGAGTCAGAAATACCCGTGCAGGACGAAGTGAGATACCCCGAGACGAGCACCGTCGAGCTATACCCACCGGACTCGTGGAGAAACCATTTGCCGCCCACTGTAGATGTGTTCCTTCCTGGCAAGGTTGGTGTGTTCTGGGTAGCTGGCCTGTAGACAACGACTGACCTCAGTGCAGGCCGCATGGGACGGGATCAAGCAGAGGATCATCGAGGAGAAGTTGCAGAAGTTGGGAGTAGAGCGAGGGAGCGGCAGCTCCGTTCCTCATATACACGCCCCACACGCGCGTGCGGCCTCGGTGAGTGCACCTCGTTGCGTTCGATCGTCTATTCTCTAAAGCGGCATCGCAGATTTCCTCACCAGCCGATCCAGCTCTTCTCTTCTTTAAGCTCAACAAGCTGCAGCAGTCGCAGAACGCGTCCGTATCCAACTCTCTTTCCACCTCACCGCAGCCGCCCGTCAACCTCTCCCCGTCCCCCAGCCAGCTCCCGCCCCGATTGCAGAATCAGAACAGACATGGACACAGCATCTCTCTCGCGCAGCCCTCGTCGCGCCATTCTCCCATGTACAACCCGTCTGGTGCGTTTAATCCGTTCGGGCCGAACGCGACACTTGGCTCTGACCAAGTCCTCACGCGTATTTCGCCCGCCCCTCCTTCTGCTGCTGCTGCACCCTCCTCAGAAATCATTCATGCGCCGCAGGGCCGCGTGCCCACAAGCGTCGCATCGCTTGCCCCACCCCAAGTTGCATCGCGCCCGGAGTCGCGTCCAGATTTCTTCCGCGGGTTCGGCGTCGAAATCCCAGAGGAAGAAGAGCCGGACGAAGAGGAGGCGCCTGCTCCAGACGCTATCGCGGACGATGTCTTCGAGGTGGCCCCTGCGGATACTACTGTCGCGTCTGCGGAGGGCACGGAGCTGGACGGCATGAGCACGGTTGCGCAGAGCAGAATCCATTCCCGGCACGTCTCGAAGCTCTCTGCCGCGCTGTCCCTACGCTCTGTCGGGGGCGGGCTGGCGGACGAATCCATGGAGCTTACTGAGGAAGCACCCCTCCCCGTCCGGAGCCCCGCCGGCGAGCTTGCCGTGGTGGACCTTGATGGGGATGAGGACCAGGAGGGTGATCACGACGTCGATCCTGACCAGGAGGCTGTTGGCGAATGGACAGGCTCTGAGGATCTGCGCACCACCGAGACGTCTGACGATGAGGTGGGTAGTGTGTTGCAGTTGCTTGTAATACTGGCGGGAGCTGACGTGGCGGCAGAGCATCGGCGAGTGGTCGAACCCGTCAGACGAGGAGCGTGCGCGTCAACTACGCCTCCACCGTCGTATGATGCGTCGTGTAAAGCAGGTGAAGCAGGAGCTCGAGATCCCTCGCCGGATCCCGGACTTCCCCCGCCCGCCTGCTATGCCTGTCCCTGTACCGGGCACGGCCGAGAACGTCGACGACGACATCGTTTCAAATCCGAGCGACGAGGGCCATGGGCCGTATGCAGAGTACTTCGAGCAGCAGGCGGCAGCTGGCAGGCGGCCTCTTCCGCCTCTGCCGCACTCGCGCAGCGGCTCTCAGTACTCCGCGCAAACTGGGCATGATCCCGCCCTCGCCCATTCGCGGAATGCATCAGAGCAGTATCTCACTCCCGGCGGGTTGCACCCCCGTCCTTCCCAGCTGCCCCAGCCTCAACCTGCACTCGCTCCTCGCACAGATCTCAACCCACTTGCGAAGCCGTTCGTGTTCGGAGCGAGTCGACAGTCAGGATCGTTCGCTCCTAGCATGTTTAGCAGCTCTTCTGGGACTCCTGGCATCGCAACTCCTCCCACTCATGCTCGTGCTCCGTCGTTCGGCAAGCCCCTCAACGTCGCTGCGCCGGAGTTCAAGCCTGGAGGCTTCACCTTCCGTCCGCCCCCAGGCGTACCTCAGCTCACGTTCCAACCTGTTCAGCCAATCCAGCCGCCTCAGCCACCTCAGCCGCGTCCCTTGCCAACGCCTCCTGCCCCCGCGGAACCTGCGCGCGCGTCGCAAGGCAGGGAGAAAAGACAGCGCAGGTCGAGCGACTCGTTCGAGAGCGACGGCGAGGGCGAGGACGAAGACGGTGTCAATACCATGCACTCGTTCCGCTTCCCTCCCGCTGCCTCCGACTCGACGCCTGCTCGTCACTCTGCCCCTGCCAGCCCCCCGGTCAACACCGTCGGGGTCGACAAGCAGAGCGGGCTTAACGTCGCTGCGAAGCCGTTCACGTTCACCGGCTCTCTGCCGTTCCTGCCTCAGCACAAGGACGACATCCCGCGGTCGCCTGGGTTCAGCGATGACGAGGAGAACGACGAGAACAAACCCATTCTGCCTGCCCCTCCCGTGTCGATGCCTGTCCCGCAAATTGGTGCTGAGGAGTTGCCGTTCCCGCCTACGTCGAAACCAAAGCGTGCGCCCATCCCGCTCGACTTCAAGCATCCCGTCTCGACAAACACTGTTCCCGCCGGGCTCTTCAAGGCCCTCGTCAACAATGAGGACGGGGAGCGCACCCGCAGGACCGTCCGGTCACGCCTCAGCTCGCGAGACATCTACGAGCACAGCCCCAGGCAGTCCCTCGACGACCTTCACGTCCCTCCCATCTCGCAGCGCACTGGGCGCAACCGCCTGTTCACTGATCCCGGCTTCCGCGACCGCGACGATTCGCTGGAGCGCGACGACGTCTTCAGCGTGCGCCGCCCGCGGCGTTCGTCGCTTCCCCCGAGACGTAACGATGACGAGGATGACGAGGAGTCGATGTCGGAGATTTCGGTCGCGCCGATGAACCTGTCGAAGCGCATCGAGATGCAGCAGTACGAGCAGCGGCTAGAGAAATTGCTCGAGGAGAAGTTCGAGACTATCAAGCGGACACTCAACGCGTACAAGTCGGCCGCGAGTAATGGTCAGGCTATCAACTCGTCGACGGAGGCTATGATCTCGGAGGTCGTGACGCTGTTCCGTGCGCAGCTCCAGGAGTCTGCTGCTCGTCAGCTGGATGAGGGTCTGATGGACGCGCGTGGAGAGTTCGACTTTGAGCTCCTCAAGGGTATCATCGAGCAGAGCCATGAAGAGTCCCGTGCGGTCCTCCAGAGGGAGATCGCTACCCTTCTTCAGCAAGCTCAGCCTAACATCCCGCGCGACCGCGACGCCGAGCTCCAGCGGCTCATTGAGGACCTCGGTAACAGGACTATCAACACGCTTGCTAACGCGATGTCCCAGCTCGGCGCGCGCATCCAGGCGATGGAAGCCTCCCGCGCACCGTCGACGAACAACGAACATCTGTTCCAGGAGTTGTTCCAGAAGTTGCTCCCGCACATTGCTGCGCTACGCAGCGATCCAATCGACTACGACGTCCTCACCGCTCGTCTTGCCCAAGCTGTCAAACCGAACATCTCGCAGCTCATCGACCTCGCGTCGGACAAGCGCGAGACGGCCGGCCTCATCGTCGATAAGCTTGTGCCGATCCTGCCATCGCTCCAGCCTCAGATCGACCTGGAGTCTGTCGTTGGCCGCTTGACGTCGGAGCTCAAGACGATCGTCGGTCCCTTGGATCCTCACGAGATGAAGGAGCAGGTGTCGGACCTCGTCGTAGAGCGTTTGGACTCGCGCCTTGCCGTTCGTGACCGCCCACTCAACGTCGATGCGATTTCAGATAAGGTCACGGAGAACGTGCGCGGCCTTGTTGCTCCGCTTGCGGATGTACAGCGCAAGCTCGAGGAGCTCGCCAACAAGGAACCAGTTGTTACTCCCCACCAGGTCGATCTCTCTGCAATTCAGAAGGACATCTCAGATGTGCTGGCCGACCTTCCTCAGCGTCTGTCTGCTGCTGTTGAGGCCCTGGACAGTGCACAGAACGAGTTCAAGACGAAGGCTGCCCGTCCCGAGAACGATGCCTCCAGCAAGATTCTACGCAATATTGAGAACGTCGTATCTACCTTCTCTGCCGAGCAGAAGAAGCTCGTCGAGCAGAACACCGAGTTCTCTGACTTCTGCCAGGATATCATCAAGCACATCAACTCACTCCCGGAGGCCATGGTTAAGGCGACCGAGGTCCTACAGAACGCCCACGCCGACTTCGCTGCACGGGACACGTCGCAGAAGGATTCTGAGGAGATACGTAGACTCATGAGCGAGAATTCGGGTCTGCAAGTTCAGCTCGCGAAGGCGCGCGGGGCGCACGGACAGGTCCGCGTGGAGAAGGACATGCTCAGCGACCGGGTGAAGGCTGTTGAAGCCGAGCGCGAGAATCTTAATCTGCGCGTGGAGGCGCTGCAGGATTCGATCTCGAAGAAGGCGGGCGATACTGTTGCGTTGGAGGCGAAGAACGCGGAGCTTGAGGAGGCGCTTGCGCGTGCGCTAGAGAGGCTCAAGGCTGCTGATGTTCAGGCGCAGAGTCAGCAAGAGAAGCTTGCGGAGCTAGAGAAGGCCAAGAGCGGGCTCGCCTCAGAGAACCAGCAGCTCAAGGCCAGAGTAAGCTCCTGTCCTGTTCTCAGTTGAGGTGTCGTGTATGACGTTCTTGCCCGCAGATCGAGTCGCTCGAGGTCAAGGTCACATTCATCACGCGGGAGAAGGACACACTCGCAGACGAGATCGTATCGCAGAAGACGCTAAACGCAGAGCTTGTTTCACAGCAGAGCCACTGGGACGAGCTCCGTCAAGCTACGGAGCAGATTCAGCTCCTCACGAACCTTGTTGGTCAGGTTGACATTGAGGAAGTGAAGGAGCTCCGGGCTATCCGTGATCGCAGCAAAGTGCTCGAAGGAGAGCACGCAGCCCTCCAGCGCCGCGCGAAGGAGTTCGAGACGAAGGTGGCCAATTATGAGAAAGTCGCTCAGTCGTCGCGCCAGAGTCTCCTCCAAGCGAGGCAGCGCGCGGAGGAGTGGGAGAGGCGCGCGAAGGAGGCGGAAACCCAGCTTGAGGTCACGCAGTCGAAGCTCGACGAGGTTGAACAGGCTCATTCTCAGCTCGATGCGGACTACTCGCTCGTCAAGCTCCAGCTGGAGGAGAGAGATGCCGAGGAACGCCTGGATAAGGTATGCTCCCCTGTTGCATCCGTCGCGAGGCATCACATTGACCCACTGCTGTTCCTAGGACCGGCAGAACAAGCTGCGCGACCAGATCGCCTCATTGGACGGTCAGGTCACGCGCCTGCAAGCCGAACTAGACAAGGCCAAGAAGGCCAATACTACGACTGCACCCACTGTCCTCCAGCCCACCGCGCGCTACCAGAACGGCAAGACGCACCCTCCCCCTCGCCCCGACTCTCGTGCAAGCACTGTTTACAACCAAAGCCGTGCCGGTACGCCGAAGGCCCAGTACAACGGCACGACCAACGACGTTCGCGTCGTCACGCCCCCGCAAGCCTCCGTCAGGGATTCGATCCACGCACCCTGGCGGCAGTCGACGCTCCAGCCGCCGGTGACCCCGAAGTCGAGGTATCCTTCACACTACAAGAACTTCAGGGCGCCGTCCCCAACGCCCAGCGTCGTCTCGGCCGCGCCCACGCTCGGCGACGACGGCTGGTGGTCATAGACTAAGACAAGAGGAATTGTTTTGGGTTATCATCTGATCTTGGTGCCACATAATGACGCTGTCCCGCTCACACTCACTGTCTCCCACCACACATATCTCATCCTTTCATTATCGGATCGCTCTCACATGCATGGTTCTCCCGGTCGTCTCATCTCGTTACTTAGTACTTACCCATCTCGCTTAGGTTCCATCTCACCCCTACCGTATATATCTAAGTCTATTTCATCACTTTGTCCGGCCATTCTATACTGCACTTACATACCCGTACATTGCACCGTTGCTGACCTCTAGGTTGTGCTCGTCCGTTATCAATACCATCTGCTTCGTTTCCTGTCTCGTCTTGTTCTCGTGCTCGTGGCATCGCTTGTCTCTTTTTCTCCATCGTCTACTTGACGATCATCTCACAACGGAACAAGGCAGAGGCAGGAACAGAGCGCCGAAGGGTGATGCTAGCTGCACGCATTCTGTTGTACACTCCGGAATATATTGCATTAATCTGGGACCTGTACGTTCTGGCGTGGGACGATTCGTGTAGCAGTAGGTTGCTGGGAGGTTGGGGAGGTGTGTGTGTATGCGCATCTGGACCCTTGGATGGCGAGACGAGTCTGTTCTGATGTCTACACGGGAGCGGCGCGGGGAGAAAGACGGGCGAGTGGGGAAGCGAGCACGACGGGGGAACCTATATGTACTATGGCATCGAGGGGGAAGCAGCAGCGTGAGCAGGTCGGATCCTGCGTCTGATACATTACATTATTGGGGCGGTGGCGACGACGACGCTCGTTACATTGAGTCCGCTGACTTCGCGGAAGAGTCCATTACTGTTGCTGCTGTAGTGCGGGTGACTGGACGTATGAGGGCGGGAGCGCTGGCCAGATGAACTTCTCCACGGCAGCCACGGCCTCCTGAGGGTCCGTCGGCAGTCTATCCGCGTAGATGCCGCCAGTCAGTCACAGCGTAGAGACGAGACGAGAAAGCAGCAGCGAGAGAGAGAGCGGTACGCACGCGAGCTTGGGCACCCACCGGCCGTCCTTGAGGTGGAAGAAGCGGGGGACGTGCACCTCCCCGCGCTCTTCCATGACCCGCCGCTGCTCGCGCTGCGCGTCCTCGACGGCCGTCTTCGCCTCCGTCGCCGCGTCCATGTCCTTCGCGACGATCGCGCGCGTCAGGCGCGTCCACAATCTGCGTGCGCCGCAAAACCGTCAGCTGCAAAGCGAAGCGTTGTGTGGTGCGGGGTACGCACCTGCGGGACTCGTTCGGCTCCTGCTCGTCTTCAGGCGCTACCCACTTTGGCGCGATCTTCTGTCCATCCCGGACGGCGTCGAACAGCACCCGCTTCTCCCCCTGTGACGGCGCCATATCAGACATTGGACAAGACGTGACGATTGTAGCGCGACGCACCTTCGAGCTCTTGAACTCCATCGTCGCGCTCCACTTGCCCGACACCTCGCCGACCTCTGTGTTGCCGCGGCGTATGCGGCCCTGGATCGCGTTGTACGTCCCGGAGAAGTATCCCTGTGCGAACGCAAAGAGAGGTGAGCGCGAGTGGCGAAGGGACGAGGCGGCACAGGACTCCTCCCACCTTGGTCTTGAACTGGATCTCCGCATAATGGCCCGTCTTCTCGTTCTTCGCCGTGCACGAGTCCCCGAGCTCGAGGAACATCTTGCCCCACAGGATCCCGCGCGCGTACATGTTTGGCATCGAGATCACGTACTCTGTGTGCCCCGTCTGCATCAGTATCAGTTCAGCTCGCCCTTGTCGCCCGCGTACCGTTGTCCTCCGGACGGCCGAGGAGGTAGACGCGGTTCTCGCCCTCCATCACCGTCGACACCGAGTTCCCGAGGAACTTGGACTTTGGCCGGAGTTCGCCGATGACGGCTACCTTGTTCGCGGGCGAGACGTAATAGAACGCGGATATCGGCGGGTGATGGGAAACTGCCGAGAGTGAGCGCGTTTGTGTCAGTGTGCGCAACGTCAGACAAGAGCATGGCTGACGGGCGGGACGCAGGCAAATGCGCTGCAGGTCGCGCGCGCAGCAGAACAGGAGCAACAGGGCCGAGGAAAGCAGGAATAACGTGCTGGGGAGATGTGCGTACCTTGTTCAGCAATGTAGAACCCGCGAGAGCCGTCAGGGTAGTCATATCGACAGCGGAAGAACTCGCCCAGGACAGGGTTGTATCTGTACAGACGCGCACGCGCGCGCGCACAGAAGAACAACGTCGCGAGGCAGCGAGCGTCAGCCGGGGGACAGCACAGGCACACACGTGCAGAGAACGAGGACGAGGACGTACGGCTTCTTCACGCCCTTGGGCTTGATGTGCCAGCCGGCGAGGTAGTACTGCAGCACGCGGATGAAGCGTTCTTCTGGGTCGTCGCACGTCTCCGCGCTGCGGCCACGGGATGGTTGCATAGATGAGGCATGCGCGCGCGGGCACCGACGACGGGAGGGAGAGGTGGACTGAGGTGAGTGCGCGCAGATCTAGGAGAGATGAGCCAAGCTTACCCAAAGAGGAGATCAGGATGGGACATGAAGTCGGTGATGCGCTCCAGCATGCTCCGCGGCTCCAGGACGAACGTCGGGAACGTCACCTTGTGCAGATCCATGCCCACTCTGCCGTAGCACATCGCCGGAGAACAGGGGATGAGCGGGACATGGATGGCTGCACGGGAGAGCAGAGACATACCGGAGCTGCGAGATGAGCGATGAGATGATCGAGCCCTCGTTCTCGTCCCTGTATTCCCCATCGTCAGCATCGTCCTCGGGGGCGGCGGAGGTGAAGTAGCGCATCATGGGTAGTAGCAGGAAGAGACGAACAAGATAGAGGTGTCATCTGGCTCGGTGTCGTCCGGGACCTTGTCTTCCTCTGACGCGCGTGACTTGGATATCTTGGAACTCGCCTGGCCGAAAAGGCTCATCATCTTGTCAGAACGTGCGCGTGAATGAGGGCGAGGGGAGGTGGGGGCGTGGATCAGGCGATTGGTGCAATTATATGGGTCAGCTACTAACGGCTGCTGCGTAATGCAATACAGTCAAGCAGGGTTGTATGGAGGCTGCGCGCGGCGGTGGCGGCGGGTCAAGCACAAGAAGTAGAGCACAAGAGGCAGAGCACGATGTGCTTTTGGTTGTGCTGGTCGTGCAGCCTAGAGAGACGGAGGAGGAGAGGGAGGAAGGCTCAGTGTGCCGGAGAAGGACTACTTCGGTCGGCCCTGACGCGCCCCTCCACAGCCACTGCGCGCTCCGAGCGCCGAGTGACGCACCTCACCCGCACCACTGCCACCTCGAACCTCGATACCTCCTCCTTTCTAGTAACTATCCGATACATATAACTGTTCGTTCTCACTCGGCTCGGCTCAACCTCAGATCCATCTATGATTCTCCACCTATATACCGGAGCCGCTATACATGCCATTGTAACAATGTACAATGAATCGACTTCATCGGCAAAACCTCTCAGACTGGCAGTACCACCACCGGACGACATATACCATCTACGACGAGATAGCGACAAATACTACTGCAGAAGCCAGCTGTGGCGCCGCGGAGATGTTCAGAGGGCGAATGCTCCGTGCTAAGCCTCTTCCAGCTGGGACGTCGCTTTCACCAGCGCGTGGTAAGCTAGCTCGTACAGTCTCCAGTCCTCCATCCACGGGAACGTCACGTCAGAGTCGGCGCTGATCGCGTCCTCCAACTGCTTCACCAGAGACTCAACAGCAAGAGCGTGCTCTTGCAGCTTCTGCACGTCGCGAGACTTGTGCACCGTTGCCGAAGGTGCTAATGCCTTGTGCAGACGGCAGGCTTCCTTGAACAGTCGTCTGCAGCACGTGAATGATTGGAGACCATGATCACGGCATGAGATGTCCTACTCACGAAGCGTCATCCAGAGCAGCCTGTACATCCTCGAGCTCTCGATCGTGCGCGTTGCGAAGGCTTTCCTTTGCCGAGGACTTCGCCTTGTACATGTGGTCTTTGAGACACTCCGTGACGGCGAAGAGATTTGGCACGATCCCCAGAAAGAGAAAGCGGTAGGGAGAGCCTCTCCGCTCGATAGTAGGAGAGGTAGTCAGGAAATCCTCGTATACGCGACGACGCATCTCCGTGAGCTGATCCTTCTCAAAGGCTTTCCTTTGAATATAACCTCGGTATGTAGAGATTATCTTGGACGCAGCCGTGATCTGTATGTCCGTAAATTCGACCTGGTGTTGCTCGTTGTCTTCATCCTCTGCGTTGGACTCCTCGGACAGGACAGCTGTTGTTCCAGTCATTGGCTGGCTATCATAATCACTGGGGCGCGAAGCGGGAAGCGGGCCACCGGAGGCATTAGTTCTACTGTCTGCCTTGACATCGGCGGTGTTACAAGACAATTGGACGATGTGCGTGGCATCGAGGAGGGAGATGAGATCCTCGATGTTCTGATACCTCACTAGCCGGACGTTGGGCGGCGATCTCGGCGGGTCCGATGCGGAGCAGCAGAGATATACTACTTCGTCCAAGGATGAACTGGCCACTGATTTTACTGCGGCTTGCGCGAGGCTATGCCAGTCCTCCGCATAGATGTACCTATAGAGAAGTCATGAGTGGGGGCAGCAGGTGGAGCGTGTCTGTTTCGTACGCGGAAGATGTATGACTCATGATATCCCGCCCGACGTGCTGAAGTCCTGAGATGGTTTGATGAATCCATTGGCGCAGCTGCGGTATAGGAAGGTTGAGGCCCCCTTGACAAGAAAGATCAGCAGCAGTTTCACAACTCCAGCAAGTATCAGCAACGTACAAAAACAAATGTTCCGGCATCTGTTCAAGAACACCGTCAGGATCCACTGAAGCTAGATAAGATGGAACACCGTACATCTTCTCGATGAAAACCTCACGCGTCATGTTCAGGCCCCGCGAGGACATATTTAGATTCTCAAACAGAAGATGAGCTATGATCGCTCATGTATCATTTATAACGTATTGACGTGTCTGCAACTTGGATTTACTTACAAGCCTTGTTGCCAGTGCATATGTCTCTGAGAAGCTGGTTCATGCAAGCTACGTACTTGGGAGATTTCTCCGTCTTCATGGTTGCAAGCTGATCTGTGTCTTGCAGGAGTCGGACCAGCCAGCTCTTGGGTAGGGTAAGACCGTGAAGCGTGCCCTTGTTACGCAGTTGAAGGGAAATGAGCATCGCGCCGCACAACTGATCCATGAAGTCGCAGAGGACACCGATATCGACTTGCAACCGGTTGTAGAGCACATGGCTGGACATATTGTCAGTACATAAACGAGGGCATGATACGCGCTGGAAGACCTACTTCAAGAACTGCACGCCTCTATCTAATGCGCCCGGATAGCCACATTGCATAGCAGCGATCAAGTCGTTTACGATGTAGCGGTCACCCCACCGCACGAGATATTGCGGCCTCTTTTCACGGTCGCGAATGGCGCATGGGATGCGCTGCAGCTGACTGAATGCTGCGCGGCGGTCGAGAAGCATGGCAAGTCGAGTCGTCCGCATGAGGTTCACAAGAAAAATGTGCGCCGGGTCCTTGTCATGATCAAAGCGATTGAGACTGTCCTGAATCCAGACCGCGATTATATGGCGGCCCGTTGTCAGCTCCGGTATTGAGGCGAGCGTAAGTGTGTGCAAGGAGCCTATGTTGTCTGAAACAGGGTACAGTGCTTCGTATAGACGACGTAACCAAGCTCTACAAGGAGGGTGTGAGAGAACCGCACCTGATGGGATATGATAGGGTCGACTTACTTCCGCTGCTTATCAAGAATAAGATACGGAATATCGGTGGCGTACAGGGTGTGGAAGATCATGATATGAAGAACATGGATGCGGATGAGATTGTTGTATGTCGCGCGTGCTTCCTTCGGCGATGGATCTATGTGAAGCTGAGGACATCCTCGCCTTGGGCAGAATTGGTTGGTCGCATATAGGAGACACGGCCGCAAACAGAGGAGTTTATGGCATATCTCATTCTGGTTGAGGACCCTGTCCTTGAGTCGCTCGCGAAGCGCAGTCTTGGCCAAACGTTCGAGGTTCCAGCGTAAAATATAGATGCCCTGAGCAGTGGTCTCCTCGAGAATGGTTGCTCCGCCGTCCAGAGCGCGGGAAAAGAGATAGGAGCCTTTGGGAAGAAAGAATAGCTCCTCGTTGTCGCTGTTGACCCGTCTAAAAGTGAAGAGCTTCTGAATGTGGGAGTTCTGGCAAGGGTTCGGATCACAGGAGTACCGTGAGAGCGTGCGAGCATAGACGAGGAATGTCTGGAAGCACGAAGCAATTTCTGATAACGCGGCAGATTCGAGACCAAAGTCATGAGCGAAGACATGGTCGAGGCAAAGCAAACCTGCGGGATGATGTTCGTCTCTAGTATGGAACCATTCACCAAGTTCAGCAAGAGCTGGGATATCGTTCTGCCATATCGCGCGGAACATAGCAATCTATATTATGCATCAGTCTAATGTGATTTTGAAAACGCCGCTTGACCACGCACCTCGTTGCGCAGTATCCCATCTTGGAGTCGAGGGAAAACGACTTCTGCATGTCCCAGTATTTCGACGAGTTTCTGGTCTTCCCAATTACCCTCTGGAGCCCCTAGAGACATGTACAGCCAGAGGCCATCGAGGATGCAAGTCACGGCCCTCAGCAATGACTGTGCCGATTGACGCTTTCGATAGTTGAGGAAGAATAGTTTAATCGCCTTGAGGTCATCACCTTCCCGAAGGTGACATTCAGCGGCATCGTCGAATTCCTCCCTCTCCTCATGGAGGGAAGCGCGTGGGGCGTTGAGATCACGGTCGTCCATGTACTCGAGTACCTCGTCATCATTCTTGAAAAGGGATCGTGCTTTTCTATAAGGACATCGCTGTTAGTCAAGTGACGTGATATACGCTGTGATGAAGAGGGTGTGAATTACGCTAATTTTTGCTCCTTGATATAGTACAGTTTGGAAACTTCAATGATGCTCTGAGCGACGTCAGGACGAACGTCAGTCTCGTGGACCTGGATAACTTCAACGGCGTCGTCGAACATCCCTGCTTTGCGGAAGTGCTGAGCAGAAAGTGTGTACTCTCCCGCATGTCGGTACGCAGCGCCTGCCTTACCGCTGTCTCCGCATCTGACATAGCACTCTGCAGCGATGCGGTAGTACGTGCGTTGGTCCTCAGGCTCTCCTGCTCCTTGGGCGGCAGCTACAAAGCCTTCAGCTGCCCTAGAGAAAGCGGCCGACTGAGACAGCTCCTTGCCACGTGCGTTGACAGGAGACATGCGGGCTGAGTCTCTGAGGTGGTACGCAAGTGCTACCCGACGCTCTTGAGCAAGACCAGCGCGCTCGAATGCATCCACTGCTTCGGAATATTGGCGCTTCACGAATAGGGAGCGGGCCGCATTC